TTTTTTATCGTTGCCTAGTGTAATATCAGAGTGTTTGGGGTGGTACCGGCGCAATTTGGCTCCAAAAAAGGTGAAACTTGCGGTGTTGAAATTTCATTTTGTAACGTTTCGAATGGTATAAGTCCCGTCAGTTCACTCCGACATCTCTAATTCACTTTATTTTTTATCGTTGCCTAGTGTAATATCAGAGTGTTTGGGGTGGTACCGGCGCAATTTGGCTCCAAAAAAGGTGAAACTTGCGGTGTTGAAATTTCATTTTGTAACGTTTCGAATGGTATAAGTCCCGTCAGTTCACTCCGACATCTCTAATTCACTTTATTTTTTATTAGTGCCTAGTGTAATATCAGAGTGTTTCGCCTGGTACCGGCGCAATTTGACTCCAAAAAGGGCGAAACTTGCGGTGTTGAGATTTCATTTTGTAACGTTTCGAATGGTATAAGTCCCGTCAGTTCACTCCGACATCTCTAATTCACTTTATTTTTTATTAATGCCTGGTGTAATATCAGAGTGTTTCGCCTGGTACCGGCGCAATTTGACTCCAAAAAAGGCGAAACTTGCGGTGTTGAAATTTCATTTTGTAACGTTTTGAATGGTATAAGTCCCGTCAGTTCACTCCGACATCTCTAATTCACTTTATTTTTTATTAGTGCCTAGTGTAATATCAGAGTGTTTGGGGTGGTACCGGCGCAATTTGGCTCCAAAAAAGGTGAAACTTGCGGTGTTGAAATTTCATTTTGTAACGTTTCGAATGGTATAAGTCCCGTCAGTTCACTCCGACATCTCTAATTCACTTTATTTTTTATCGTTGCCTAGTGTAATATCAGAGTGTTTGGGGTGGTACCGGCGCAATTTGGCTCCAAAAAAGGTGAAACTTGCGGTGTTGAAATTTCATTTTGTAACGTTTCGAATGGTATAAGTCCCGTCAGTTCACTCCGACATCTCTAATTCACTTTATTTTTTATTAGTGCCTAGTGTAATATCAGAGTGTTTCGCCTGGTACCGGCGCAATTTGACTCCAAAAAGGGCGAAACTTGCGGTGTTGAGATTTCATTTTGTAACGTTTCGAATGGTATAAGTCCCGTCAGTTCACTCCGACATCTCTAATTCACTTTATTTTTTATTAATGCCTGGTGTAATATCAGAGTGTTTCGCCTGGTACCGGCGCAATTTGACTCCAAAAAAGGCGAAACTTGCGGTGTTGAAATTTCATTTTGTAACGTTTCGAATGGTATAAGTCCCGTCAGTTCACTCCGACATCTCTAATTCACTTTATTTTTTATTAGTGCCTAGTGTAATATCAGAGTGTTTCGCCTGGTACCGGCGCAATTTGACTCCAAAAAAGGCGAAACTTGCGGTGTTGAAATTTCATTCTGCAACGTTTCGAATGGTATAAGTCCCGTCAGTTCACTCCGACATCTCTAATTCACTTTATTTTTTATTAATGCCTGGTGTAATATCAGAGTGTTTCGCCTGGTACCGGCGCAATTTGACTCCAAAAAAGGCGAAACTTGCGGTGTTGAAATTTCATTCTGTAACGTTTTGAATGGTATAAGTCCCGTCAGTTCACTCCGACATCTCTAATTCACTTTATTTTTTATTAATGCCTAGTGTAATATCAGAGTGTTTGGCGTGGTACCGGCGCAATTTGACTCCAAAAAAGGCGAAACTTGCGGTGTTGAAATTTCATTCTGTAACGTTTCGAATGGTAAAAGTCCCGTCAGTTCACTCCGACATCTCTAATTCACTTTATTTTTTATCGTTGCCTAGTGTAATATCAGAGTGTTTGGCCCGGTACCGGCGCAATTTGGCTCCAAAAAAGGCGAAACTTGCAGTGTTGAAATTTCATTCTGTAACGTTTCGAATGGTATAAGTCCCGTCAGTTCACTCCGACATCTCTAATTCACTTTATTTTTTATTAATGCCTGGTGTAATATCAGAGTGTTTCGCCTGGTACCGGCGCAATTTGGCTCCAAAAAAGGCGAAACTTGCAGTGTTGAAATTTCATTCTGTAACGTTTCGAATGGTATAAGTCCCGTCGGTTCACTCCGACATCTCTAATTCACTTTATTTTTTATTAGTGCCTAGTGTAATATCAGAGTGTTTCGCCTGGTACCGGCGCAATTTGACTCCAAAAAAGGCGAAACTTGCGGTGTTGAAATTTCATTCTGCAACGTTTCGAATGGTATAAGTCCCGTCAGTTCACTCCGACATCTCTAATTCACTTTATTTTTTATCGGTGCCTAGTGTAATATCAGAGTGTTTCGCCTGGTACCGGCGCAATTTGGCTCCAAAAAAGGCGAAACTTGCAGTGTTGAAATTTCATTCTGTAACGTTTCGAATGGTATAAGTCCCGTCAGTTCACTCCGACATCTCTAATTCACTTTATTTTTTATTAATGCCTGGTGTAATATCAGAGTGTTTCGCCTGGTACCGGCGCAATTTGGCTCCAAAAAAGGCGAAACTTGCAGTGTTGAAATTTCATTCTGTAACGTTTCGAATGGTATAAGTCCCGTCAGTTCACTCCGACATCTCTAATTCACTTTATTTTTTATTAATGCCTGGTGTAATATCAGAGTGTTTCGCCTGGTACCGGCGCAATTTGGCTCCAAAAAAGGCGAAACTTGCAGTGTTGAAATTTCATTCTGTAACGTTTCGAATGGTATAAGTCCCGTCGGTTCACTCCGACATCTCTAATTCACTTTATTTTTTATTAGTGCCTAGTGTAATATCAGAGTGTTTCGCCTGGTACCGGCGCAATTTGACTCCAAAAAAGGCGAAACTTGCAGTGTTGAAATTTCATTCTGTAACGTTTCGAATGGTATAAGTCCCGTCAGTTCACTCCGACATCTCTAATTCACTTTATTTTTTATCGGTGCCTAGTGTAATATCAGAGTGTTTCGCCTGGTACCGGCGCAATTTGGCTCCAAAAAAGGCGAAACTTGCAGTGTTGAAATTTCATTCTGTAACGTTTCGAATGGTATAAGTCCCGTCAGTTCACTCCGACATCTCTAATTCACTTTATTTTTTATCGGTGCCTAGTGTAATATCAGAGTGTTTCGCCTGGTACCGGCGCAATTTGACTCCAAAAAAGGCGAAACTTGCGGTGTTGAAATTTCATTCTGCAACGTTTCGAATGGTATAAGTCCCGTCGGTTCACTCCGACATCTCTAATTCACTTTATTTTTTATTAGTGCCTAGTGTAATATCAGAGTGTTTCGCCTGGTACCGGCGCAATTTGACTCCAAAAAAGGCGAAACTTGCGGTGTTGAAATTTCATTCTGCAACGTTTCGAATGGTATAAGTCCCGTCAGTTCACTCCGACATCTCTAATTCACTTTATTTTTTATCGGTGCCTAGTGTAATATCAGAGTGTTTCGCCTGGTACCGGCGCAATTTGGCTCCAAAAAAGGCGAAACTTGCAGTGTTGAAATTTCATTCTGTAACGTTTCGAATGGTATAAGTCCCGTCAGTTCACTCCGACATCTCTAATTCACTTTATTTTTTATTAATGCCTGGTGTAATATCAGAGTGTTTCGCCTGGTACCGGCGCAATTTGGCTCCAAAAAAGGCGAAACTTGCAGTGTTGAAATTTCATTCTGTAACGTTTCGAATGGTATAAGTCCCGTCAGTTCACTCCGACATCTCTAATTCACTTTATTTTTTATTAATGCCTGGTGTAATATCAGAGTGTTTCGCCTGGTACCGGCGCAATTTGGCTCCAAAAAAGGCGAAACTTGCAGTGTTGAAATTTCATTCTGTAACGTTTCGAATGGTATAAGTCCCGTCGGTTCACTCCGACATCTCTAATTCACTTTATTTTTTATTAGTGCCTAGTGTAATATCAGAGTGTTTCGCCTGGTACCGGCGCAATTTGACTCCAAAAAAGGCGAAACTTGCAGTGTTGAAATTTCATTCTGTAACGTTTCGAATGGTATAAGTCCCGTCAGTTCACTCCGACATCTCTAATTCACTTTATTTTTTATTAATGCCTGGTGTAATATCAGAGTGTTTCGCCTGGTACCGGCGCAATTTGGCTCCAAAAAAGGCGAAACTTGCAGTGTTGAAATTTCATTCTGTAACGTTTCGAATGGTATAAGTCCCGTCAGTTCACTCCGACATCTCTAATTCACTTTATTTTTTATCGGTGCCTAGTGTAATATCAGAGTGTTTGGCCTGGGTTCACTCCGACATCTCCAATTATCATGCCTCTTTGAGCAAGCTTTTACCATATCAAAAGCTTTGTTTTGTGCTAAAGTAGACCCTGGCATCTTTACAAGCCATAAAAGTACTACTTAAGTAGTCCCAATAAAGCTCATTTGTGTGGTGTTGAAAGAAAAGTTCTGAGGATTTTTCCACCTTAAAAATCGAAATTAGGCAGCTAACTTTTACATATTCTGAATCAGAAAAATTTTGCGATTTTTTTGATATATGTGTCGACCTGTAGCTCCATACCCCATAGAATTTCCTTGTTAGAAATCTTTGTCATCATTTTTAATATTAAAAATAACCTAATTACACTTATTACATTTATTTCCTCCTCATTTCTTTTATTACTTTTCTTTTTCCGCCTTCCGCCATCTCAAGGCGCAATGTAAATAATGGCCGCATTTGCATATTCCCCATGCCTTTTCTCTTGATCCATATTTCTCCTTTCTCCCCAAAAAACATCAATTTTGGCGCCATTTTTCCCGCCGTTTTCTCGATTTTTAAACTATTTTTTAAACAGTAGTATTACTTTTTGGGTCTCGATATTTGTAAAAACGCCTCGGGCCACAACACAGAGTTTTTATTTGATCGGAAACCCATAAAAATCCCGTTTACGCAATATTTTTGATTGCACTGTGCGTTTGGACTTTATTTTGACTGCACTGTGCAGTGTTGTTGTCCGATTGCACTGTGCAAAAAATTCAGTTTTGTTGCACCGTGCGCACTTTCAACTCATTTCCCTTGATTGCACTGTGCATTTTTTATTGTTGCACAGTGCGGCTCCTTCTTTTCCCTCACCTGCACTGTCCATTCATTACCCGCCTTGCATGCACAGTGCTTTTGTTTCCTTTTCCGAGCGCATTTGGCTCCTCATGTTCGCTCGCACCGTGCACTCGCTCATTTCTCCTCACTCGCAATTCGACTCGCACAGTGCACTCGTCCCTCGCTTCATCCCTCGTGTCCGCATCCTGCAATTTTTTTGTTTTTTTTTTCTTTGTTCGCACACTGCAGTTCCCTTCTCTCTGGCTGTCGCACTCCACTTCCCCATCCATTTCTTTTTCCTTCGCACCGTGCACACTCATCGCAATCGCGCTTTTGAAGCCGGGAACAGGCGGTGATGGGCTGCCCAATGTCCATTCGGAAAACAGACGCCCACTTTTTCGTCGCGGGACGCGAGCGACAACGAACTGCCCGGCGATGAGAGAATGCACTGTGCATTTGCGTCCACTCCACTCGCAGGGTGCATTCGGGTTTGGCGTCGCTTTGGGTGGGGGAGTGGGGGTCGCTCGCGGGATGGCGTCCTTTTTTCGGCCAGCCTTTCGTCGCATCGCCGTGTGCACTCTCGGCCTGCCGCACTCCCTGCGGAAGACGATCGCACTGACCTCGTCGCTTCTGCCATTCGCTCGTCGCTGGGCTCTGCACTCTCGCCCGCCTTGTCGCGTTCCTGTCTGTTTTTCCAATTTTTGTCAGCGTCCATCGCCGAAGCCGTCCAATGCACCGTGCGGATGGCAATTCGGTCCGGCTGCCGCTTCAAGCTTTCAGTCCACTGATTTTGGCGACAAATCCGAACGGACTTGTCGCAAACGGAAGCGTCGAAAAAGTGCGCTCAATTTGCAATTCCGGGGGCACTTGGGCCAAGCGATTGTCGAGAGTGCGGCCAGGCATCTTTGGGGAGCCTGAAAGCAGTGCAATCGCAGGGTGCCCTTCGCACTGTGCGGCCGCTTCCTGCATTTCATTTGGTTTCATTTTTTGCCTTTCTTTGCACATTACGGATTTTTTGCTTTGGTTTGCGACCGGTTGAATGCACAGTGCGATTAGAGGATGACCGCACCGTGCAATCATCTTCTTTCATCTTTGTCGCTATCCAAAAAAACCCGAACTTGACCAGCCGTCTGCACAGTGCATCCAATTTTTCATTGCATTGTGCAATCATTTTTTGCAAACAATTGTTGCACTGTGCATTCGAATGTTTCTCTCTGTTTCGCACCGTGCGACCAATCGAACGAAAACATCCGATTGCACCGTGCAGACATCCGGCGAGCGCACGGTGCATCCACTGAACGTTCGCACCGTGCGTTCCTCTCCGCTGATAGAGAAAAGAGTGTGGGAAAGGGAGAGGGTGGGTAGAGAAGGGTCTCTGTTCGCGAGTAAAAAGAATTTCCCGCGCTTTTTCTTCAAAAAACAACTCAAAAACTTGTGAAATGTCCGTGTTATCAGTTTGTTTTCGCCCTTTAACTTATCGACCGGTCGATTTTTATAATTTCCCTAAATTCCCGCTGTTTCTCGTGGTTTTAAACCGTTTTTTCGTGATTTTTAAGACCTTTCGAAAGCTTGAACAAACAACTTTCGCGAGAAACGTTGTAAGAAAGTTATTAGTGACCAGTAAAAGTCTTTTCCCTTCCAGACACATTCCAGTTATCACTCACTTTCGGTGGGAATTTGCATAAACTCGAACGGATCTCGGCTCTCTGAACTGTAGTCATGCCGGTAAGTTGATTTACAGTATTTTAAGACCCTCATTTCACAACTAAATTGCCTTAATTTTGGGCTGACAAATCAAAATTAATGATCCGTATTTTAGTCGCCACCCAAACTTCGATCCAGAAAGCCATCCAAATCGCCAGCCAAGTCAAAACCGAAGGCCAAGTCCCCGCCCAAGAAAAGAGCCCCATCCAAATCGCCGGCCCGCTCCAAACCCGCCAAAACTCCAGCGAGAAAGGGCTCCGAATCCCCCGCCAGACCCTCGTCCCCTAAGGGCAAGAGCGCGGCCAAGTCCAGTCCCCCGTCCAAGCAGACTCCCCGAGGCAGAAGTCGAAGCCGTTCAGCCCAAAGAGGCCGGCCCCGCTCCCGCTCCAGCAGCCGAACCCGGAAACCGGTCCAGCCAGAGCCCCTGAAGAAGGCGACGCCCGTCTCGGCGAGCAAGCCCGCCACTCCAGGCAGCCGCTCCTCCCTCCGCCTGCGTCAAACCAACGGCCCCACGACCATTTCGAAGCCGCTTCTGTTCGGCTCGTCCCAGACTTCCCCTCGCTATGCGGGCCGGCCCGGCATCAGCTACTGGCAGCGCGTCAAGAACTCCCAAGTCGGCAGATATGTGAGGAATCTGCCTCGTCGCTTCAGCGTCGCCAACACCAAGAGAGCCGTCAAAAAGCACTGGCGGAAGGGAGTGGCGGTGGTTGTGGCGGCCGGGATCGCGTTTTATTCCTACCACAACTACAGACAGATCGAGAAACTGGCCAACGAACAGTACCAACGACTCGCGGACCTGGTGGCCAAACAGAAACGGCCGAGCATCTTCGGGTGAATTGAGTTCGTTTTTCGTAGAACTAAGAGATTTCGCAAATAGATGTCATGAATAAGATGGCTGATACTCAGTGCTAGACTAAGTTCATTCTTAGGAAATTTAACTGTTATAATCTATGAATATAAGGCTTTCCGACGCAGTAATTCACTCGGCCATATAAGATTTCAGGCAGTCGTAAATCGCCTGGAAACTTGATACCCTGACCATTAAATTATCGCGATTTTAAATGTCCAAACTAGAAAAATGTAGCAATAAAACTCATTGGCAGTAAGAATACCACCTTTATGTGTCCTACAACCTCACATTTTACCCAATTTCCATCAAAATTCAATCAAAGACATCAAAAATCCATCATGGATAATATATCTGATGACTTTTCCTTCCAAAAACTCCCACTTTTTCTCTCGAATAGACCGAAAATAAGCTGAGCTCCCATTAAAATCAAGGTTAATCGCCGCCTAGGGCATTTCACATGGTTTTTATCACTAATCTCACTAATTTGTTCCGTTTTTCAGGAATCTATTCGCTGAAACTCCCGCCACACCTCCTCCCAAAGCCGAGAACATCGCCAACTCACCGCGGCAACAATGAAAAAGGGGGAGAAGGACCTTGGATCTTTTCGAATTTTATTTTCCCCTCAAATTCCCCCTTTTTCCGCTGTTTTGGGCTCGTTTTCCCCTAAAATTTGTTTATTCTTGGCCCAAAAGCGGAAAATCTTTATAAAAGCTGAATTTTTATCTCTTTTCTTTTACAAACCGTCTATTTTCTAACTCATTTACCTTGTTTTTGCTAATTTTGTAAATTTTTCAATGAATTCTCGCTTGTTGCAGAATGCCAAAATTCCCTGATGTTCGTGGTGGGAGTAAAATTTACGGTTAATGTAGTCGAAAATATCACCGGAAATGGCTAGTAATGTCTTCGGCGTTATGTTTGATTCACAATCACTGCAATTTATGACTAAATTTCCCCTTTAAACATCAAAACTTGGCATTTTTCATCGAGCGCTGGCGTTTTGAAGTGATTACTGTAATTACTGTAACTTCAAGCATCGCCGATTGTAAAATATAACTGTTTATGCGTTTAGTTAACCACAGACCGTTGGGTCTTTCAACTCGAAACACATTGTTAAGCTCAAAATCTCGCCGCTTTGCAGGATTACTGTAATTTCCGTAGTAATACTGTAACTTTAGGTGCTTTAGAGATGTTTGCTTGGCTGAAAGTGCATTATGACCTCAGGATTTCCAAGATTTTACCATTTTGAGATACCTTTTGTTCCCTTGTGTCTTATTCCCATTACTTTTGTCTCGCTGTAACTATTGCATTTACAATCCTAATAACAAAATAAACACAAATCACAAAAATAGGCGTCCAATTACGAGAACGGAATACGTGCGAGTCCTCTTCAATGTACTTTACACCTCTCTCTTCTCAGAATCGGTGAATCCTTTGAGGCAAAGTTGGAAACATTTTTACAATAAACTCCCGAAGGCTTAAATTTACGTGGAAATCACCGGAACCGGGGCGGGGCTTCACGTGGAAGGGTATTCGAATAAATAACGGGGCCCATCTTCTTGATCAGGATCTCCGGTTTCCCTCCAAAAATTCCGAATTTTTGGAGTTTTGCGACGAATTCGGTGGCCGGTATAACATTAGCCATGTTAATAAGGATGTACGTGGCGTGTTTCGTGTAGAAAAGCGACTCCATGCGACTCTTCTCTATTATTCATGAGATTTTAAAAACTTTTTAAAAGGCTACGCTTCATGAATAAGCTCAAGAATCAAGCGATTTTTTGATTATTTTTGGGAATTACAAGTTGTAACTACTCTAAATACTCGGAAAAAGATACATCAATTGTTCAAAGACTTAATTATCACCATTTTCGTCTAATTCCAGCAGGTTTTTTGCGTCGTCACGCCCTTTATACCAGCATACAATTTAATGATTATGATAAGAGTGGGACGTCAACAAAGTTTGTGATAATCGGGACCCAACCCACGCCCCAAAATTCCCACCAAAAATACCTAAAACAACACTTTTTTGTTTGAACAATCTGACCTCCAAAACGAATTCCAAAAAGGGAATTCCTTTTTGAATATCGCCCTTTATGGCTCGAAAATTATTTTAATACCGTTTAAAGCTACTTTCAATACTTATTCATCTTGGGATCGTATTTCGACTTTTCTCAATTTTTTTTATAATCTTCTTGAGAATCAAAATTCGAAGAATTGGGGGCGGAAAAGCAAACCGGATATAGAGAATTTAGACTAGGGAACGTCCCGGATCTTTCTTGTTTCCCGTATTACAATAAAAGGAGACCAAAAACATCGGGTTTTATGAATTTTTAGAGATAAAATCATCATTTTTGATGGCTAGAATAATATTTTGGCCATTATTGCTGTAAAAAAAGAAATAAAAAGAGGCTGATTATTTCTGCAATGACCTCACAGAAATTTCAGATACAATCGGTTCTCAGGCTGTATAAAAATTGCGCGTTATTTTTTTTACTTTTTCTTTTGGATCATAAAAGGAAGGGGAATATAACTGTGATTACAGACAAAACCTGGACTCGTTCTGCACCTAAAAAGTTCAGAATTTCACATTCACCATGGTCTTCGAGAAAAAAGTGAGTTTAATTTACGAAAATTTTTGGCCTTTATATAAAAAATATTGACGAAATGTCACAAAGATTATTGGAAAATTTGAAGTCGATTTAATATCAAAATCATGAAGGAAATAGGTTTTTGGAGGTTCAGAATACGTTTCTTCCATTTTGTCAGACTAAATCAATGTAGTTTGATACTAAAAAATCAAGTCTTTACCGAGAGCTGACATAAAATAATAAAATTCTCCCAATTTCAGGTAAAAGAGATCGTATGCGTTGGTGCTGGCTATGTCGGTGGCCCCACCTGCGCCATGATCGCCCACAAATGCCCTCATATCAATGTGACTGTGGTCGATATGAATGCCGCGAAGATCGCGGAATGGAATTCAGATACTTTGCCCATTTTTGAGCCCGGATTGGAGGCAATTGTGAAAGCTGCCCGAGGCAAGAATCTTTTCTTCTCGTCTGACATCCCGGCATGTATTAAGAAGGCAGATTTGATCTTCATCTCCGTGAATACGCCGACCAAAACGTGAGTTTTCGAATTGACATGGCTAGTGTCAGAGATGACGTAATTCTTGGATTTAAAAAAAAAATCATTTTTTGTAATAGAGGCTTTCAAAATTAACGAAAATCCATTTTATACAACAATTTCTGCAAGGCTTTATATTTTAAGACTAAATTTAAATAACTTTAGGTATGGCCGAGGAACTGGGATGGCTCCTGACCTCAAATACGTTGAATCCGTTGCCAGAACGATCGCTGAGCACGCCGAGAGTGAGAAGATCGTTGTTGAGAAGTCTACAGTCCCAGTAAAGGCGGCCGAGAGCATCACTTACATTCTGAAGGAGGCGCAGACCTACAAAAACATCAAATTCCAGGTAAAAATTGATTCCGAAATAGGGGTTTTGATGTAAAATACGTACAAAGGAGCCGTTTTTCAACATTATCTAACTTTTATTTACTGCAGTACGATTCAAAATTAGACTCTGATTATGTTAACCATGCCATTCCAGGTCCTCTCAAACCCTGAATTTTTGGCCGAAGGAACTGCTATGGCGGACTTGGCGAACCCGGATCGAGTCCTCATCGGAGGAGAGAAGAGTCCGGAGGGAGAAGCGGCGGTTCGACGGCTAGTCGAAGTCTACAGTAACTGGGTTCCCACGGAAAGGATCATCACGACAAATACGTGGTCGTCGGAGCTCTCAAAGTTGGCTGCAAATGCCTTCTTGGCCCAGCGAATCTCGTCAATCAACTCAATCTCAGCGATTTGTGAGGCGACGGGAGCCGAGATCAACGAAGTTGCCCATGCCATTGGGAAGGACACGAGAATTGGACCCAAATTCTTGCAGGCTAGTGTTGGTAAGGATGGTGGTATATAGATGTAGACTCTTTGTGGGTCGTTTGACTTGCTTATGTAAAATAATACAGTTCAGTTCGGTTTAAAATTCATATTCCCGCCATCTTTGGCGTTGTGTTTTAGATGGTTGAATTTCCCGGAAAAGCTTTGTCATGGTAAAATACGAAGACTATTCAACATATTAAATAATTTAAACATTGTTTTTAGTGATTTTTGGGACAAAATTTATATTATCCATCAAAAATTTTGATAAGAATTTATTATTCACCTCAAGATTTGATGTTTCAGGGTTCGGAGGCTCTTGTTTCAAGAAGGACGTCCTCTCATTGGTCTATCTCTGCGAATCCCTCAATCTGCAGAAGTGTGCCGACTACTGGAATGCCGTCGTTGCAATGAATGAATGGCAGAAAAGGAGGTTCTCGGACAAGATTGTGCTGGAATTGTTTAACACAGTGGCCGAGAAGAAGATTGCTTTCTTCGGATTTGCCTTCAAGAAGAACACCGGGGACACGAGAGAGTCCTCGGCCATCAGTGTGGCCCAACATCTGATGGAGGAGAGGGCCAGTATTACCATTTATGATCCAAAAGTAACCGAGAGCACGATGAGACAGGATCTGCTGACTGTGGCTAGTCAGGAAAGTGGTAAGGAGATCATTTTAGTTACTTTAGATTAGCACAGTACAGTTTTAAGTTCAAATATTTAAATTCCCGCCATTTTTGGCATTAGGGGAATTTACAGACAAATTCAGCGTTTTTCAAAGCTCTAAGGTTTTTGGCGACAAAAACTTATATTATCCATGATGACTTTGGTCGGTTTTTAATAATTATGGCCTGTTTCGACGATATCTCCTTTTTAATTGCAGCAAATAGCACCTTTTTTAATTTTACATTTCAGTTGACAAAGTCCAGTACTCCACTTGTCCATACAAAGCCGCTGAAGACTCCCATGCCATCGTCATTTTGACCGAATGGGATGAGTTCAAGACCTATGATTACGAGCGTCTATTCAAGTCCATGAAGAAGCCAGCTTCCGTTTTCGATGGTCGTTTAATTCTCGATCAAAATAAGCTCAAAGCGATTGGATTCCGAGTGTTTACAATCGGCTCCATGCCCACTCAATCCTACAAATTATTCGACTAAAACAAGGGTCCATTGACAAGCTCCTATCTTCACAAGTCCACAACTTTCCCATTCCCGTCACTAGCAGTCCGTTTTTATGGTGATTAACGACGATTTTCATATCAAAAATAGACTTTTACATAATAATTTAGCGTAATTTATTGAATAAAGTCCATTAATAACGTTGAAAGTTGGGCATGAAAGTTAGAAAATATTTATTTCAAGGATAATACAAATTTTTGGACTTGAACTGTAATTTGTCGTCTCCTCTACCCATCATTCGTACCCTTTGTTTCTCCACCGTCCCAATTTCTTCTTCACAAACACAAAGATTTCCCATACCGACCCCGAGAAAACCCTCCGTATAGCGACCTTTCACTCGTTTTGGAGAGACGGAGAACGAGAGAGTGGGGTGGCGTGTCGCTGTGCAGAGCCCTGGTCTCTTTTGTCTGCCTATACCACCGCTTCGAGTCGCTCCCTCCTCTTCCGTGCATTTCGTTTCTCCGTGCTTCGGACGGTTTACGTTTTCCGGGCGAAAGTTATTTTTTTGCATGCGGAATTGACAGATTTGAAAGGACTTCTCTAAAAAATGGTCGAGATTAGTAAGAAAAACAGAGCCAAATCTTTCGTAAAACACAATTCCAATTGTTTCCCTCAATTTTTCGAACTTTTCGCGCGCAATTTTTGGTTTTTTTTTTGAATTTTTGGAAGATTTTATGCAGATTTTTCTTGATGAAAGCCGATTTTCACGTAATTCGCGACTAGTTCCACTGATTTTTGGATGTTAGAGATCTCTTATTTTATTCTCTATTCTATAAACTTTATTTTAGCCTCGTTCACATCCAAATATGGTGCATTTTACATCAAAGAAAACTGAGTTTTACCTGTATTCAGCCCGGATGTAAATATAAGGTCCACATCAAGCCTGGAGGCTCCACCAATCCACCCTACCACACTATTTGAGGCCTTTTCGTCCTGGTCTTGACATCAGGACTGATCGGGGACGGACTCTTCGGTTCTTTGACAATCCAGCGTCAGCTCAAGGACAACAAGATCAGTATGAATTTATGGACAAGAAGATTTGATTAGAAGACTTGCTGGGAAGTTAAGGGCATCAAAATGAAGATACAAAGGTATTGGGAAGGATTGGATCTGGATTTGAATGGGATGTGGATGTAAATATTCACGGTGAAGATCCTGGCCATGGCCTGGCATTAAATCAAGAACCAGTGAATACTCCGATGGTACGGCCGGAGAAGAAGCTCAATTCGACGTTAAACAGAGCTTCCAAGCATTCAGGTCGGCTTTATTTTCGTTTTGGGAATTTAATTTGAATCTGACGATTGTGAGATTGTTTTCGCCTTCGTTTTTTTTTTTTTTTTTTTGGTGACTTTTTTAAACGTCAAGTGCAATATAAAAGTAGATCCAAATATGGGGGATAAACCAAGAATTGTGAGAGGGACACTATGGGGATTCAAAAATTTGCGTCGTCATGGTGACCTGTCGTTATAATGGAGTTAAATTTAAAGAGAAGCCGTTTTTTGACTTTTTTGGACAGAAAATACATGTTATGGTAAAAAAAGCTGCTGAATTTTGTAAAAAACATTCATTCTATTAGAAAATCAAGTTTGAAGTTGCATTCCGATATAAAAATTTTTTATCTTATGCCTTCCGTTTTTTGATTTTTATCCATTTTTTCAGTTTCGAGTGACTCATCTGATCGTTGGAAGAGAATGTCCTGGCCTTGTTACTGAGCATAACTTTTGACTTCAATATGGTCCACACACCTGGTTTCAAGAATTTTTTGACCGCGCCGTCTGCTTCAGCCAAACTGTAGCCTGGCCGTCATTATCGCGATGTTATTTTACCCCGGTTTTAAAGACGTATCATGGAGAATATTGGCCTAGAACTGGTGCAAACTGATGCTGTTTCGATGAGCATTGAGATGGTCCCGAACAGAGATGACAGTACGATCATCATGGCAGCAAATGGTGAGTATTACAAACTTGTTTTTGTGGACAAGTTTTGACTTTTCTTATTTTTTATATGCATCATAATATTTTGATTCATTTCCCAGTTAAGAATTTGAAATTACCTGTCATAATATGCATAATGGGATTTGATCGTTTGAAATTTATGAAATCTTCATTTTAGCGAATACTGAGGGCATTGGACGACTTTCCCGGACTTGATGATATTGCTTAAAAAGCGATGGACAAGAGGGCCTCCTATATGTTATGTATGGCTCCCCATTGCCATTATCTATGCCTATGAATAGTAAAGGACGCGACAACACGATTCCGATGATTCTATGACGTAATTAGCCAATAACTGACTCAATTCCGGCATATCTTTTGATCTCTTTAATTTTTTGATTACGTTACTCCGTGATTATGACATAAATTGTATTCCTCTTGGCTGTTGCTAATAAAAAATGCCTTTTTTCGGGTTTATTCGATAGGAAATTTATTGGTTATGACCAATGCAGTATATCTTGAGTCTTTATTTGTTCCCATGACCGTATTTTAGATCTACTTTTGGCATTATCCCAACAGTTTCCCCCAAATCTTTGGTCATATTTTCCTTCAGCATGGGCGACACAGCTCCGCTGGATCTCAAGATTAGCGCCATCTCCACCTTGCCCCAGCACCATTTTCAACTCCCAGATAAGACGGAGAAGGTCCCAAAGAAGCGGCGTTCCATCTCGATGCAGCTCAAGCGAGATATAATCCTTGGACATTTGGCGGGGAAAAGTTTGAACGATCTGAAGAAGCACTTCGACCTTCCCCGTTCTACAATATTGTGCATAACGAAGCGGTCGGAAGAGATCTTGACCGCGTTGCAACATGGAGGATTCAGGAAAAAACGGATGACCAAGGCCAAATACGGATATTTGGAGGGGGAATTGTACGAGTACTACAAGTATTGCAAGGATAATGATGTGCAGATTGGTGGAGAGGAGCTCAAGGTGGGTTAAATTATTTTTTAGGGGCTAAAATTCGCTGTTTTCGAGGTTTAGACATCTGTTTTGTCTAGTATAATATAAATGTTGTGATTATTTCAACATTTTTCAGATAAAAGCCAAAGAAATTGCTGAGCGAATGGGAAGTTCGGACTTTAGAGCAAGTTCTGGATGGTTGGGAGGCTTTAAGAAACGATTTGGCATCGCTTTTCGCCCCAAAAATGAAGAAAACGAGACCTCCGAGAAGGAAGAAGCGATTCCTCAGCCTTCCGAGGAACTTCAAGAATGGTTGAATCCCAGGAACGAGAGCGAAGAAGATGAAGTGAACATCTCACACAACGAATTACTAGTCCATTCCACCATCCAGGAGGGCATAGATCGCCTGGAGAGTGAGATTACCCAAGAGACATCCACTTTGGAAACGGCCGAACCTCCTCCACCCACGGCCGCTGAAGCCCTGCAGGCGTGTTCAACTCTGATTCGATACGTGAACAGTACAAATAACCAGGAATTGATCAAATTATCCGACGCCTTCAGTGAGAAATTGAACCATCAACTTCTCCTTGATCTGATCTCCGAAAATGACTCCAAGCCTTCGTAGCCGCCTTACCGACCATTCACTGAGCAAGTATACTTGTTGTTGATCTCAAATTGCCCATTTGTAATCTTAGTTGTGTTTTTATTTATAAATTTTTGGATATTGGACTAGACTTTTATGTAATAACCGCCCATTTCTGCGCGCACAAATCCCCTCCGCCAAAGGAGGAAATCCCCCGTTGACCGGTAATTAAATGGGTAAACTCTGGAGGAGTCAGAAAGTCAAGAAATGGACATTCGGAGGGGTATCAAATGTATATAATAGCTGGGAAATCCGGAGTCAAACAAAGAGAGGATTTGTTGCGGTATGACTTGGACAGTTTTCCCAGAAAGCCGTGAAATTGAAGGATTACATTTTTTTGATTTTAGAAAATTTTGCATTTTTTGATGACAAAAAAATCTGGTTCCTCGTGTGAAAAGACGATTGAAAATCTCCGTTGCTTCTGCAAAGCGCGATCTAAAATTTTCAGAAATCAATTATGGACCCAATCCGAATCATTATTTTTCTCCATTCTGATCACTTTCTTATTACTTCCCCAATATTTGCCTTATCTTCCCATAAAATTTCCCTTTTGTCCTCAAAAAATGTCATCAAACCCAACCACCTTCCAGAATACCTTCCTTCGCCTTTCCATTATTACTATTCTATGTCCTGTTCACGTTTTTATTTCGAAAACACACAAAAAGGCGTGAATATCCGAAGCGTGAAAGCACTGTTATTATGGGGAAAGTAAAGCCACTGATTTGGGGGGATTTCCGATGGATAAAAAAAACTGTTTGAGGGGTGGGTAACAGTGGAAAAAGTAAAAGTAAAAACGGCCTCTGATCATAAAGTCTATACTTTCAGGGAGAGGGGGAGCAAGGGGAGTAGTTACAGGGCTTGGGACTTGTGCATTTGAGGGATGATATTGGAATTCTAAGGCGATTTTTTGGGAGAAAATTAAGGCAGAAAATGTGGCATGTTTCGTAGACGAATGTTGATCCTAATTTTTGCCAATTTTCATAAAAATCGGAAACTTTTTTTGAGATTCTGTCAGAAATAAATAATTTCCTTGTAATCCTAGATTTTACTGATTTAAAACAAAAAATTTATTTTGCTCAATCCTTCAACAATGACGTAATTGTTAGAGAAATTTCCGAGCTTTCTTCAATGTTTCCTACTTTAAAATTTAATTTCCTACGTCAAAATGAAACATGTTATGTATCCATCATGAACAATATCAAGATCATCAAAATCATCTCCAAGTTTTGATATTACTTTTTCCAAAACTTGTCATACATTTTCCCTGATTCCCGATGACGTAACCCCTCAAAACCAGTCCAGCTCCCGTGACCTTGACATCCAAGAATGTGATCCCCATCCAATGCAATGCAATATTAGTCATCGCCCAACTTTTTATGTTATGTCGCACTTTTTTCGTGGATCGTCGCCTCCATTCAGTCAAGTATTTAAATTCGGTTTAGTCGGTGAATGTCCATTCATCGCTTCGGTGGTCATCGCCTCTTTTCCATCGCTTTTACGACCAAATTCTTTTACAATTTAGTGGCTGAGAAACGAGTAATAAACGCGTAATAAAGTTGACGCAGGTCAAAGGGGATAAAAGAGCCCTCGGGGCATGAGAATCTCCAGTTGGGGGCTTTTATCTTTATCTGAATTTTACTCAAATTATGGCCGAAAATTGGAGGAATATTTAATGCGAAGGGATTTCTGGGCAAATTTCTGGTAGAATCTGAGCGGACAACCGTGAAATTACATTGTTTATACCTTAATGGACTATTGAGCAACAGTTGCAGAGATTTTTGTACTTCAGATATTAAAAATTTCGACTACTTGCTTACTAGTGCAATATAATTTTTGATGATTTCTCTCAAAACATTATTAGAAAATTAAGAATTTAGAAGCTAAACCGTAATACCCGGCGCTAAATAGCATTCCAGAATTAATTACCACATGTCTTTTGCATAAAATATTCATCAACGATCTATTCGTATTTTACCGGTATTTCTTGCCTCTGAAATAATATCGTTTCAGAATGCTGACCCTCCTCGCCATTTTTTTATCATCTATCCCAGCCATCATTGCCCGTCAATCTGTATTTTCGTGCCCTCTTAGCCCCGGATTGTCCGGATTACCCGGAGTTATCCCCGGATATGCCGGGATCGGAGAAGTGTAAGTTAATTTAACAAAAAATTAAATACTACATCTCAAGCAGATTACTGCCCTCTTAAAACTTAAATTTAGACCTATAAATGTACATAATTTTAACTCTTCAGTCATCAAAATATCTTACTTTAGATGTGGATCGGGCTCATTCCTCCATTATTGGATATGCTGCGAGGATTATCCCTTCGAATGTTGCTTTCAGTTTGAGACCTGGGCCATGTAAGTTTGTTTTACATCAGTTTTCATAAAACTGACTTAATTTCACTATCAAAAATAATGATTTTATATTGTTTTAGTGTCCTCTTCGCGGTAGTTTTGGTTCTATTGGTGGGAGCTGGCCTCTTCGCGTTGGGTCGACTGATTGCTACAAGATATTAACCCAACTCCTTGTTACGACATATTTTGTACATACACCCTCATTTTTAATTTTTTAAAATACGTAGTAAATAAGCTTCTAATAAAAAATCATATTTTCGACAGGTCTAAACAAAATTTTCTGAACGAAATGGCAAATATAGAGCTTGCTGGACTCTGGTCTGCTAGGATTTATCGAATTTATCATTTTAAAAACATAAAAATACTTTATTTCAACCAAATATTCACTTCTTTTCCTTCTGACTTCTCTTGCTGCGCTTTGATTTCTCCTTCTCTTTCCCTTCTTTTTTGTCCTTCTCCTTCTCATCCTTCTTATCCTTGTCTTTCTCATCTTTCTTGTCCTTCTTCTCGTCTTTGTTCTCCTCCTTTTTGAAAGCGTCGTCATTGTTCATACCAGCCAGGGTCTAAAACAATATAAATTATTGAACCTCCAAGTAAAAAAAACAATGTAATTTTAATTCCCAATCCTAATAGTGACTCCACTCACCATATACTGAGGATCTTTTCCATCGGCGACCTTCACGTCAGTGGGTGCCTTGAATTTTTTCTTCTCCTCCTTGGCCTCCTTTTCTTCCTTTTTGAAGGCTTCGTCGTTGTTCATTCCGGCCAGAGTCTAAAAGCAGAACAACTTACACCAACTGTTGGCCCATCATCTCTCTATTACAGCAATCCACTCACCATATATTGAGGATCTTTTCCATCGGCCACCTTCACATCCCCTGGGGCCTTAAACTTCTTTTTCGCCCCTCCTTTCGGGGCAAAGAGATCGTCATTCATCAATCCGGCAAGTGTCTAAAAACAGGTAAGAATGGTTTACAACACGCTACCTGATATTGTGGGTCTTTGGCATCAACTTTTCCTTTGTGTTCTGGAGCCTTGATACCGATACCAGTGGGTTTGGTGTCAAAAACGTCATTATGGAGTCCCATAAGAGTCTAAAATGATATCAAATTATCATTTCTACAGTCTCTACTCTGTTCTCTCCAATTCTCACCTGATATTGTGGATCTTTTGCTTCGGCTTTTCCCATTTTTTCAGGTCTTTTGAAAGGATCGGCAACCTTTTTCTCCTCTTCTGGAGCCGGCGCTACAGCTGATTTCACATCATCGCCACCCTTCTTGTTTGCCTCAGGTTCAATGGCTGACTTTATTTCCTCCTTATTAGCTTGGGCTTTGGGTCCGCCGCCGCCGATGCAGTTGAAGTTGGAACAGACGTCGACCTGGGCTTTCGGGGCTTCGAAGAGGGTCAGACTTTCGCGCAAGAACTTGTCAACTTCAGTGGATCCACCAAGGAAGGCAAACTAAAACTTTTCGTCTTATAAAATCATAACTGTCTCAAACAGGTGACATTTTATACGATAAAAGTCAAAAATTTCTGAAACGTTTCATCGTATAAAATGTCCGACAGAGTATGGTATAGTCTAATAACAAGAGAGCAAAACTGACCTCTCTGAGTGTGAATCTCTTGAATTCGGTATCCCTTTCGTCCTCCAAATCCTTCATACTGAATCCAGCAAGACCGGCGGAAAAACGGAGCGCCAACCTCGGCAAGGTGCGCACATCCAACAACTGTCTTCCATAATTCAGCTTGTTAATCCATAATTTCATTCGAACATATGACTAAAAGCATATCCTGTATGATCCGGGAAAAAATTATATTATCCATGACGTACAATCCAAAAAAATTAAAATTTACGTAAACAAAAAAGACAAAGGCCGAATAAAGTTTACAAAGGAATACACTTACATCAACGACTCTCCAGAGAATAAACCATGCCGAGATATTCAGAATCAGCGATATGAGAAACGATCCGCCGACGACTCCAATAATAATGACATCGGACATCTCTTCCACAACCACACAACAATACTGATCTCTCTAGAGTGACCGTATTCCAGAGATCTCCCATTTTCAGAGTTTTTGGATTGAGAAAATTTGCATAATTTTAAAATACGAAAATTTGAAGTCACGCAAACCGGTTTTAACACCAAAATAGCATTAAAAAACCTAGCCAATATCTGGCCTATAAAAATTAGACCTACATCCTGAACAAGTTTCTGTCAAAATTGTGATATTTGAGCGATTTACAATGTAAAGTGAAACTTGACCCATCTTTGTCAGTTTGGGTCAAGTCTCTCTTTTCTTTTTGGAAATTGTCCCACAAAATTTTTTTCGTTGTTTTACTCTTTTCCACTCGATTTTACATCTAATATACACTTTCTAGCTCTTTGCTCATTAATTTTAACTATTTTGTTTGTGTATTTTATGATTTATTTTTTAGGTTATTAAAAATATTTAAAACTCTGAAAATGGCTAGCCGATTTGAAGTTCTGAGAGAGGAATTGGCTGACGACATCCGTGGAGTCAATCGTTATAACCCTAACCACATTGCTCCTCTTCAGGAATGTATCACAGCTATGATTAAGGAGGATACCTACGATAAGGATATTTTGTTGACCACCTTGAAGCTGTATCAGCTCAATCCAAAGAGGTAGGTGAAGTTTTTGTTGATTTCTTTTGGCTTTTAGAGGGTGGAGGACCTAAAGTTTTCAATATTTGCTTGGAGGTGCCATTTTATTGTTTTTTGTGTCCAAATACGAAGATTCTTATTATTCATCGTCATGTATAATATCATTTATTTATTTTCAGCTACAACGAAGAGTTTGTTCGCGATGTTTTGTTGAAGACTATGATGGTATTTCCCAGAAACGATTATGCTCTTGCTAAATACTTGATTGACGCTAAATGGGCGAGTTCTCCCGTGAGTATATTACGCTTGGCATCCTTACCTCATTGTTCATTTGTGCAAACCTGTGATGTTATCACATTTCTGTTTTAGGATCTCCGAAAGGTTATGGATGTTGGCGCGTTATTGGAATCCTGCAATTTCAGTGTTTTCTGGAAGCTGGTGCATGGAGAATATGTTCCATCTGGTTCTCCTGAAGAGAAGTTCAAGAATCCCGAGGAAATTAAGAAGCTTCTGGAGCCAATTAAGGGATTTGAAGATGCCATACGTCATTGTAAGCAGCTTCTTATTATTTAATGTTGTACTTGGAGATATCAAACTGAATGTAATTCTGTTTCTAGATGTCTGCTCTGTGATCTCGGCTACCTTCCAAACCATTGATGCCACTCAGTTGAAGCGTCTTCTTGGTGGTATTTCCGGTAGGTTTGATTTGTATTGTTCATGTTTCTCTCTTTAGACAGTGAATGCCAAGGCTATGCTCGACATTACAAATGGGAGAAGAGATCTGACGGATCTTACTTCATCAAGAACCATGATGCCACTATCAAGAGCAGGAATGTCGAAGAGAGAGTCAAGTTTGAGCGTAAGTTTTTCCAAAAATTTCGGTCGAAATGGGTGTAACATGTAATAGAGATGTTGTTTGTTACCTAAATTAATATTTCAGAGTGCCGGGAGGTCCTGCAGATGTCAAATCAGCTGTGAAACCGTTGAAATTTGTTAAATTCGTGGATGAAATTTGTTTTTCTTTGATAATTTAAAGAATAAATTGTTTGAAGCTAGTCGCTGTTACACGCAGGATGATATGTTGATGTAACATGATTAATATCTATGGGAAATACGAATCAGTTTGACAGAAAATTTAGGAAAATGACTGAAAATGCCAACGAATCTGCAGATGTTTCCCTTCGAATCGACGAAAGTTTGGATAAAACCGAAGATTTGGAGATGGAAGAGCCTAAGGAATATGTAAGGAGTTGTAAATTTATTGACTTTTTCAACTTTTAGGAGCCAGTTTCCACAGAAATTACGACAAAGTTGATGGATTTAGTGGAAAATGTCATTCTGAATGATGGAGATATCAACAATGCAATTGAGGATATCAAAACAATAGATTCGGTGAGCAAATTTGATATTAATTTATGTTACACATGCCATTTCTGATGAAAATTTGACGAATCTTGAGTTTAATTTCAAGTATAATATAACTTTCGTCTATTTTTAGCCTCTAGTCCGATCTCAGCTCAGCGATGTCTACGGAAATCTATCCTTGATCAGTTTGACGGCAGATCAGAGCAAAAAAGCGATAGAATTGGGAAAGGCCATCGCTCAGAATGTAAGAATTTTGATGTTATACTAGACATAATTTGAAATAAACTTTATTTTTCCTTCAGTTTGTCCCAGAAGATGTCCTCAAAGTGGATTGCCCAGCTATGGGAGCCAATGAAATCAAGGGGAAGATTGTGAAAACTAGGACAAAAGTATAGTAAGTTGTTTTTAAATTTTTGTTTTCAAAATTTTTAGACATCAAAAGGAAGATTTGAACTTTGATTTGATCGATAAGATACGATATTTGGTTCTGTTTGAGCCATTATTTGAAGTTTTTTGACCATTGGTACCTAAAGTAATATAATTTTAGTTACAAACAGACCAAGTTCAACCTTCTCCGTGAAGAATCTGAAGGTTTCTCGAAGCTGATCACCGAATTATTGACCCCAATCGAGGAAGACGCCCTCTGGGTACGGATCAGCCAGCTGATTGGGCAATTTAATTTGGATCCGAACAGAGTTCTCGACATTATTCTGGAGTGTTTTGCCTGCGAATTGGGGAGAAAAGACGTGTTTGTGGGAATTTTGAGGAGGCTGAGGCTATCCAAGGAGGTCCTCAGGGATATGGTCACCTTGAAATTCATCTTTTATCAGGTTAGTTTTGAAGATTTTTTTCGGATTTGGGATGTAATCTAAAGACAGAAACATGAATAAATTGATGATTTGTGGCTAGTGTAAGGTCGTTGATATAAAATTTTGATTTTTTAACCCACTAAAATATAATTACAACGCATTTCAGCGAGCCGGTCACACCTCCAACTCCTTCTACAAGATGGCCGTGATTCTCTGCCTGGAGGATCTACTGGACATGCTCCAATTGTTCCAAAGACTCGCTCCGGATCAACAGAAATTAATCGAGGACTCCAACAATTCCAAAGCCATGATCAAACAGCGAGCTCAGAAGGCCGAAAAGATATCCACCATCGCCGCCATGGAGATCCAATCTCAGAATCCATCGACTTCGCAGAGTTCCCAGGGCCAGGAATCGAGTAGCAATCAGGTTACGTTCGAAAGCGCCATCAGAGCCCAGATCTCGGAGGATCACAAGTTTTCGGCGGAACTCTTTGATGAGGTAGGTGCCTAATTTAAGATAAGGTTCAGAAATGGGAGTCTGGTCGGTTGAAATTTTCAATTTCTGCTCTTTTTTACTAATATGTTTTCTACAGTATGATGTGCTCGGAAAGAATCAGAAACTCGGCTTCCTGGTCGCGGCATTGGAGTTGGGATCCCTTTCCATCGCTTCGCAATTGCTCTCCTACTTCCCTCACGATTACATTTTTGGTAAAAGCCGACGAGCAAGGGAGGGTCTGACCAGAATTCTCGGATACATCATCGACGACTTTTATAGGGAGTGAGTTTGGGCTTTTTTATAAATTTTCTTTTATTTGATGTCAAGTATAATATAATATTTTAGGAAAAATCCATCAATTTGGGAATCCCATCCAGCACGAAAGAGAACCTGGGATAGTTTTATCGAAAAGCCAGCGAAGGTTTCAAATTGGGCCGAGTTTGAGGAGAGGGCGGTCCCTTTGGTTAAACTGCTCGGTCCAAATGTTGGATGTGTCGCTGAGGTAGCGACCAAGTTAGCGAGATTATTGAAAATTATGCTAGAGGATCCAGAGCTGAACAAAACACCCGAAAATACACTTGAATGTGGGTTTATCACTTCTTTTATATTGTTTTGCCATCTAGTATAATACGTATAAGATTATATGGATGGTGTTGTGTTTAGGCAATGAAAAAGTCAACCAACTAGTCGATTTTGCCCTATTGCCTGGTCTAACCATAGCCGAGCCGATGTATAAATACGGGGAAGAAGTGTGGATATTGATCAGTAGACTACCCTACCATCAGAGATATCGGATGTACGGAAGGTGGAAGACGGTCAATACTGTGCCATACTACTTGATGCAGCTGGAAAAAGGAATGATATTGGGGAGAGCGAGATACTTGATGAAGTAAGGGATTTTTAAATTTTTTTGGCGATTAATGTCATGTGCAATATAATTTTTGTCGAGAACCTTTATATTTTTTGATATTATTTTGTTCTTATAGACGTTTATCAAAGGACACAGTGAAGTTAATAGGGCGTCAGTTGGGGAAATTGTGCCTGAATCATCCCACAATTGCCCTGGATTACCTCCTAACTCAAGTCCAAACTTTTCAAAACTTGATCGATCCAGTGGTGGAATCCCTCAGATATTTGTCGGAATTGGCATTTGATGTCTTGACTTGTAAGTTTAATGATTTTGATTGGTCTCCTTGTGTTTGAAGGAGCTTTTTTTACGGTTTGATATTTATTTTGGTGATTTAGACACGTTGATCGAAAATCTGGCCGATCCAGCTAAACAATCGCTCAAAACTGGCGATGGAACCCTAAGTCCGTGGCTGTCAGCCCTTGCTGCTTTCACTGGATCCATTTATAAGAGATATGCCATAGAATATGAAGGGTTATTACAATATATTGTAAACCAACTGAAGGATAAAAAGTCGGTGGATTTGTTGGTCCTCAGAGAAGTCATAACTGCAATTGGAGGTGTCGATCAGTCCACAAATTTGACAGAAGAACATGTGCAGGGACTGATGGGTGGAGAATTGCTGAAGCAGGAGGTAAAACAAAATTTTTAAAAGTTTATTTTTCAAGTTGTACAGGGAGTACCAATTTTGTGGCCCGATTTGAATCAGCTATAACTTCTTTAATTTTGGGCCGAATGTTAAAATTCTTTTTTTTCCCTGAATCCTCAGACGTCCCCATTCAAAATTTTCATATCTATGCCCTCCGGGTTTCACCCCTTAGATAAAATCGGGCCACGAAATTGGTACACCCTGTATTATAAAATATGCCGATTTTTTGTCTAATTTTGTCATTTTCTTGCAGACTTTCACATCCCTGGCGCAGAAATCAAATCGAAAAGCAGTGACTCGGCTGAAGGAAGCCCTCCAAAACGCCGATCTCAGCGTTTCTCTGGCCATTTTAATGGCCCAACAACGCGATTGTATCGTCCATCAGGAGACCAAACAAGCGCCGGTCAAGTTGTCCTGTCAGATCCTGGACGAATGCCAGTCCACCTTCCTCCAATTCGTCAATTTCCTCCGCACAAACGTCAAGATGGAGGATTATTCCAAGCGATTTCCACAACTCTCGGACCTGATGACCAGATTCAAATTGGCCCCAGAGACCGCATTCCATTTGGCCAGACCCATTTATTGGTTCAGAGCTCAAAGCTCGTTCGAATTGACCAAGAAATTGAAAAAGGAAACGACCGAAAAGAAGAAGGTGGACTCAGAGACCAAGAATGAATTATACAAGGAAGCCATGGGCCAAGTCCTCATCTCTGTGGAAGAAGAGCTCGTCCGAGTGAAGGACTCGGAGTTCTGGAAGGACATCTCCGCAAAGTAAGGCTCAACTTTTATATTATACATCAGGTTTTTGATATCACACTCGATTTTACGAGAGTTTTGGTAGAAAAAATGATAATATTTAATTCTCAGGTTGTTCACAATGTTCTGGATGCTCTCCGCCAACGATCTTGAAGTCAGTAAGGCCGCGTATGAAAGGGAAATTGAAAAAATAAAGAAACAATTGGAGGCAGCCACCAATTCAGATGCTGTAAGGCAGGCATTTGACGCCCTCAATACGAGTTTTCAGTCCAAGAAGAAGCAGATCAAAGAAGAGGAACGTCTCAAAACATTGGAAGCGAAGTTGCGCGCGGAATTAAACAAAATGGAAGAGCATGTGGCCAGGGTCAACCAATTATTGGTCTCCACTAAGGAATTGTTGTTTGCTACTGGTAAGAATGGTATCTTTTGTAAGAAAAAATATAATTCCTAGGAGTGGGAAAGGGTTTTGGATCAATAATTTGCGGATTGGACCAGATATGAAAGATTTTTTATATTGTACTAGGCATCAATTATTATATTTTAAAAATTTCAGCGTCCTCCGCCCAAAACAACCGCTTCCTTCAAGTCTGCGTGATCCCCCGGGCCGTCTTCTCCGAGATCGATGCCGTCTTCTGCGCCAAGTTGATCATGACCATCCACAGTAACAGAACCAGCTACTTCCAGACGATGATCCTCATGGACAAGATCTTTTATGACATCTCGGTGGTGCTGATTGCTCTCACAGAGAACGAGGCCGCCAATTTTGGAAAGTTTCTGAGCCTACTGCTGGAGAAAGTCATGTATTGGCATGGAGATAAGGAAATCTTTGATAAGGTGGGTTATGGAGTAAAAAAATTGGGAAATTTGAAAAATTGAAGCGTTCTAGAGTAGATGAAAGTATATAAAATGAGCTTTTCTTTTCAGGAATGCCTCGGATTCCCCGGATTTTTAACAAAAATTCGTAATTCAAGCGGAGAATTTGATTATTTTGGATATAAAAACGTCTGCCACAAGTGGCAAAGCCGCATCTCAAAGGCCGCCCAGTACGCAATCAACAATGGATCGTATTTGCTTTGCAGAAATATGATTGTCGTCCTGAAAAAAGTGAGTTGGGATACTAAAATTTGAATGTTTTATATTAATTTAGATACTAAATCACTTCCCGATCATAAAAACATACGAAACGAATATGATCGCAGACATGGAGGCGCTGCGAGATCGAGAGAAGGGCAAGAGAGAGGATCTGAGTGTTCTGGCCACGTCTTACTTGATCAATTTGAAGAAGAGAAAGGCCCACATTTTCACAGTGGAGGAGTTTAAAGGAACCCCAAAAAAGGTGAAAAACGAAAAGAAAGAAGAGAAGAAGGAGGAGAAAAAGAAGGAGAAGAAGTCAGAGAAGAATGGAAAGGAAAAGTCAGAGACGCCGAGCACACCGACACAAAAGCAGAAGAGGGATTTCAGCGGGGATGAAGGTGTCATGAAGAAGGTAAAAAATGGATCAGAAATGATTACTAGGAGGGGAAACGGATGTCTTAAGGGAGTCAAGGGCTTTATTGAGGTTTGAATTGTTTTTTGGACGGGTACGATTTTTTGAAAGTTTAAATTCCCGCCATTTCTGGCATTGTGTTTCGTGTGGTTATTTTGCCATATAAAGCTCGAAAATGACAAAAATTATATAGCACGATGTAAAAATTAAGCCATAACGCGTTAATGATGTTGTTTTGAAGCCCCGCACTTCTCAAAAAACGTGTTTTTAGCACTTGGTACTGTATAGTACAAGGTGGTACTATATTGCACGAGGTAAAAATTAAGCTATAACGCGTGAATGACGTTGTTTTGGTATGCAGTACTGATCAAACGTTCATTTTGTGCAAAAACAAATTCGTGCTATATAGTACCATGTGCTAAAACACATTTTTGAGAAGTACTGGGCTTCAAACCCATAGCATTGACGTGTTATGGCTTAATTTCTACCTCGTGCTATATAGTACCACCTCATACTATACAGTACCAAGCGCTAAGAACATTTTGTTTGGGCAGTGCTGGGCACCAAACCAACAGAATTAACATTTGAATGCATAATTTTTAATCGCACTAGCTTGGGGACAAAAACGTCCTGGGGACAAAACCGGTGTGGGGACAAAAAAATAAAAAAAGTGGGGACAAAAACGTCTTGGGGACAAAACCGTCCTGGGGACAAAACCGGGGTGGGGACAAAAACGTCCACTACGCTTTTTGGTCTCTTTTGAACACTTGATTATATTATCCATGATGAATTTTATTCCAGGCCAAAACAATATCGCCGCCGGACACGCCCTCTTCAAGTAACAGTAAAAATGATGAGAAAGAAAAGGAGACGAAGGAAAAGGAGGTGAAGGAGAGAGCAAAAACAACACCCAAGGATCAAATCCGAAGAATTTTGAACAAAGAAAATGAAAGGGACAAGGGAAAGGACAAGGAAGACAAGGAAAAGAACGGAATCAAAGCGAGGAAAGTAGTATCGCCAAGGGAATTTCTAGAACAATCGAAAAAGAATGGAAAAGATCGAGAGAAGGGAGGAGAGAGAAGAGAAAAAGAGAAAAAAGAGGAGAAAATGAAGGAAAATGGAGATAAACGGGAGGAAAAGGAGGAGAATAAAGTTGATAAAGTAGGTCTCAGTGAGGAGTTTTGGGGGCTCGGACTTTTGGAGTAATTGAAATTCGTATTTTAGGAGATAAAAGATGAGAAAAAGACAAAGGAAGATACCACAAAAGAAATAAAACCCACAAAACCACTGAGAAAGACAATATTGGCACCAGAGAAGGAAATAGAAGTGGTCAAAGAGAAGGAAAAGAAGGATTCGAGCAAGAGCGACAGTAATAAGAGGAATTCGGATGAGAAAATAAGGTAACACAATATAAAATTCGGAGAACTTTTGTGTAGAAAGCTTATAAATTAATGTAAAAGAACACTTTTTTGCTATTTTGAAAAAAATGCGAAATTTTTGATTGAAAATATGAAAAATTCAAATTTTTTGCTTCAACTTGCTTAGTTCAATTTATGTTTTATTTTTTTTTTTTTTGATATTTGCCAGATTTGATTATGAAGTCTTAGATTGTAGTCTAAATTACTTATTGTGAGTGATTTCAGGCCCAGTTCCCCATCAAAACATCGCGAGCGTCGTCCCTCGAAGGAAAAGGACACCCACGATCGACGGCATTCCGACCGAAAACCGGCCGAAGAGACGGCCAAACCTCCCAAACGGATCTCACACTCCAATTCGAGGGAAAACGGCCCCTCGATGAAGAGGGCCCGTAATTAACAATATCAGAGTGTATAAATGGTGGTGATTATATTCAAAATAAATATGGGTAATTGATACCTCTCTCAGTGTTGGCTCGATTCCATCGTTTGAACGATGAAATAAAATAACACATGAAATAAGCTGTCGTTATTATCACTTCATTTGTGACGTATTCGCGATTAGTTTCTGCGCCTTCCTTTGCCACACCCAATTTGAGGTCATGGAGAAGATAAAACCCCCATTTTCTCTGTTTTTATTTGTTCGGCGTGGGTTGCAGATAATTTTAAAGGTATTTCCAGGCAAATCGCATCCAACTTGGTCATGGTTTTTGAAAAGAAGGTGAGCTGGGGTACTTTTTTGTAATTTGTGACGAAATGTCACAAAAATTATTGGATTTTTGAAACTTCGATTATTTATAACTTTAGGTGGAGCGAATAGCATGTGTCGGTGCTGGATATGTTGGAGGACCGACGTGTGCCATGATCGCATTCAAATGTCCTCATATAAATGTGACGGTCGTGGATGAAAACGAGGCCAAGATTGAGGCCTGGAATTCGGAGAAATTACCGATTTTTGAACCCGGATTGGATGAGATTGTTAAGGCTACCAGAGGAAGGAATCTGTTCTTCTCAGCTGATCAGCCAACCGCTATCAGAAACGCGGACTTGATCTTCATCACGGTGAATACGCCAACTAAAGCGTGAGTTATCTCATGTATAATATAATTTGAATTCAAATTGCATATAGTTTGTATTCCTTTCAAATCAGCAGTCTATTTACTATATTTTGGAGGCAAATGGCGTTGTTTTATCTCTCATTTAGTCATCAACGTGCCTATAATTATATTACTTTAGATATGGCCGAGGAAATGGGATGGCTCCAGATCTTATTCACGTCGAATCAGTTGCGCGACTCATTGCTGAGCACGCTGAAGGCGAGACCATTGTTGTGGAGAAGTCTACTGTCCCAGTGAAGGCCGCCGAAGGCATAGAATATCTGTTGAGAGGTCCAAAGGACAAGGAAAGTGTTCTTTTTCAGGTAAATTTTGGTAATAAAATATAAAAAGGGGGCTGGAATAAGAAGGGCATATTATTTAGAGTAATATCAGTGTCCTATCAGTTCTCTCTTTTTCTTTTCTAATTTTTTTTATATACTGCACGTCAAAAGTTTGGAACAGGCCAGATCTTCTTTGCGGCTTGAGATGGGAGTTTCATTTCTTTTTTATTAGAAGCTCCATGTATTAGGAACCTCAATGAATACATAGCCATGGAAACCAGAAAGCTCGTTGGAGTTTTAAAAAAAATTTTAAAAAATAAGTGCGTCAAAAGTTTGGAACAGCTTTTGGAAGGTGATTATAAACTTCGGGATGGAGGCAGGTATCCTCGCATTTAGTGTTTCTGGATGATGTATGGAATCGGCATGCCAATGGCATACTGATTTTCACCGATAAACCCAAAATGAAAAAAATGCTTATTGAGCCAAAAACTACGGTCAAATTTGCGAAAAAATTAATTTTTTGGTTTGGGTTCTCTATGTTATCGGTGTGTAAACGTTCTAAATTATTTAATGTGGTCGCACAATTGTACAAGGGCACTCAGATCTTCGCATGGGAACCATATCCGCACAGCATAATTTATGAAAAATTTGAGTTTTGCTATAAATCTTTATTTAATGTATTTTATATTTTTTATAGAGCGGCTTGGAGGCTAATTGGCTTTAACGCCGTTATCGTGGAATAAAAAGGTGTCTTCAAGAATCAGAACCTGGCCACTATTTGCAACATCAAGGCCACATCTTTAAAAATAGCGGGTATATGAAATGTTAATATTCCCATATTTTTTACCTCGGATTTGAAGCCGCTGCATGGCTTAAAACTAAGTGCCTTTATCGTTATCACACCGATACAGTATTATAAACCAACTCTCCGAATTATCACGCCACAAATCCGGGTCAGATATGAATATTGATTTTGGGGACAAAATTTTTTTTAATATCTGAAAGATGTGGCCTTGGATGTTGCAAGTAGCGTGGGTTTTTGTTTCTTGAAGACACCTTTTTATTCCACGATAACGGTGTTAAAGCCAATTAGCCTCCAAGCCGCTCTATAAAAAATATAAAATACATTAAATAAAGATTTATAGCAAAACTCAAATTTTTCATAAATTATGCTGTGCGGATATGGTTCCCATGCGAAGATCTGAGTGCCCTTGTACAATTGTGCGACCACATTAAATAATTTAGAACGTTTACACACCGATAACATAGAGAACCCAAACCAAAAAATTCATTTTTTCGCAAATTTGACCGTAGTTTTTGGCTCAATAAGCATTTTTTTCATTTTGGGTTTATCGGTGAAAATCAGTATGCCATTGGCATGCCGATTCCATACATCATCCAGAAACACTAAATGCGAGGATACCTGCCTCCATCCCGAAGTTTATAATCACCTTCCAAAAGCTGTTCCAAACTTTTGACGCACTTATTTTTTAAAATTTTTTTTAAAACTCCAACGAGCTTTCTGATTTCCATGGCTATGTATTCATTGAGGTTCCTAATACATGGAGCTTCTAATAAAAAAGAAATGAAACTCCCATCTCAAGCCGCAAAGAAGATCTGGCCTGTTCCAAACTTTTGACGTGCAGTATATTATTTTAGGCCTTTTAAACCACCTCTAAATTCAGGTCCTTTCAAACCCCGAATTCATGGCTGAAGGTACCGCAATCAAGTATTTGGCCAGTCCAGACCGTGTCCTCATCGGTGGAGAGAAGAGCCGTGAGGGTGAGGCGGCGGTCCAACGATTAGTCGAGGTCTACAGGAACTGGGTCCCCCTGGAAAACATAATCACAGTCAACACATGGTCGGCCGAGTTGACCAAACTGGCTGCCAACGCCTTCCTGGCCCAGCGAATCTCCTCGATCAACTCGATTTCAGCGATTTGTGAGGCCACGGGCGCTGAGATCAACCAAGTTGCACATGCCATTGGACAGGACAGTAGGATTGGTAGCCAATTCTTACAAGCTAGCGTTGGTAAGAGAGAAATTAGAGGGTTTTTGGGCTGGATATTATCACATTGGGTGTTGTGAGGCGTTCAATTCATGTCATTTTCAATTTCAGGTTTAAAAATTCATATTTCCGCCAATTTTGGCATTCCGTTTTAGGTGGTAAAACTGTAGAAAAAAATGTTTTGATGTTATGTTGATGTGACAGTAGGCATTGTGATGTAAAATTTTCCTAATTTTACCCATTTATTCATTCAAAATCACCAGTTATAATATATTTACCTTACTTTAGCCTAATCTCTACAAGTCACGAATATTTTAGGGTTTGGAAGCTCGAGTTTCAAGAAAGATATCCTGGCATTGGTCTATCTCTGCGAGTCGTTGAATCTCCCTGAATGCGGGAATTATTGGAAATCGGTGGTGGAGATGAACGAATGGCAAAGAGAGCGGTTCTCGGACAAGATCATCCAGGCTTTGTTCGGAACAGTGGCCGAAAAGAAGGTGACTTTGTATGGATTCGCTCATAAAAAGAATACCGGAGACACCAGAGAGTCCTCGGCCATCAGTGTGGCCAGACATCTGATGGAAGAGCAGGCCCGGATTTGTGTTTTTGATCCCAAAGTAACCGAGGATCAAATGAGAAGGGATCTGATGATGGCGGGGAACAAGGAGATGGGTAAGCCCAAATTTGATCGGTAGATGCAGGACCATGGCTAATTAGGTTGAACGGCCAATTTTGTTGGGATCTTGACCGATTTTCGACATCAAATTATGTTATCCATGATGACCTTGGCTGATTTTTGTAAAGTTTCTAACTTTTTCTAGCCTGATTGTAAAGGTAGAAAATGATATTGTAAGGAATTTTACATTATAGTTGACAAAGTCCAGTACTCCACGTGCCCATACAAAGCCGCTGAAGACTCCCATGCCATCGTTATTTTGACCGAATGGGATGAGTTCAAGACCTATGATTACGAGCGTCTCTTCAAGTCCATGAAGAAGCCAGCTTCCGTCTTTGATGGTCGATTAATCCTGGATCAAGATCGGCTCAGAGGGATTGGATTCAGAGTGTTTACAATTGGCTCCATGTCAATGGATTCCTGATGTTATCTGTGAATTCGAATGCAATGTAATGAGGCTAAGATATCACCCACTCCAACTTATAAATATATCAAGTTTTGCCTATGTATAAACATATTTATTTGAGGGTATAGGAGACTCAAAACTCGATCGAATTGCCGCCATTTTTGGCATTCTGTTCTAGACGTTTACAGGCACTAAATTGAAGCCTGGTAATTTTTTATAAATTCTCAACATTACGTGGAAATTTGCGAAGAAGATTGTGGAAGGAGACCAGGAAAGATGGGAAGCACAGCTTCTGAACTGGAAGCCCGATACCAAAAGGCCGCTGGGAAGACCAAGAACGCGCTGGGAAGACGACTTTAAGAAATTCTACAAGTTGAACATGGTGGGACAGAACTGGAGAACCGACGTGACATCCCCATCTTGGCCCCGAATCATGGCCCGTTTCTCTACTTTTGTTAGATGATTAGCGGAAATAAATTGAATTGAATTGAATCTCAACATTACTTCCTTTTCAATAATCACGATGAATGTTTACTCCGTTTCCATTTATATATATATATTAGTTCTCTTTTACGGTCTACCAGACGAACAATTATTGTTTTCAACGGCAGAAATGATTAGCACTGAGGGTTTTTGACCAACAAATTACACTTGGTGTGAAGGTATAGATTAAAAAAAAGGACCCGATAAAGCCATCTCCTGTGTACCATGATCAGTTTTCTTGAGATACTATCCAATTTCATTGCATTTACAACCGTTTTCATCGAATTCTGAAAAGATTCAGCTTTAGTGTTGTCGGTTGGAAAATCGGATGACCAGTATAACATAACTTGATCAAAATATGATTGCAGATGACTCACTTTGCGACGAGATCTTGAAGAGCTTGAGCTTGGCCCGGTTTGAGCGGCTCTTCCATTGTGGGGCATTCGACTTCCCGATGTCCGAGGACCAAGACTTTGTAGATGATCTCCCAGTACCGATGGCCATAAACACAGGCCAAGTTGTTGTTCATCCACCGTTGATGGACTCCATCAATCTCTCGGCCCATCAGAATCCGATGATAACAGTGATAGTAAGTGAAATCGAGGGTTTGAAAGTGTCTCTGAACATCAAATTCACATTATATTTTCTTGGGAAGTACTCCAAGTGCGACGCTCAGATTTTCTTTAAATTTTTCACGCACGTCGGGCATGGACTAAATATCAATTCCTGAGAGTTTTAGCTCGCGCTTTTCGGGCGCCACCGAGATATCGAACGATGTTTGCCGCCGAGAGAGCACGCTAAACGTGGAGAGCGGTCAGAGAGAAAAACGCTTTTTGGCCATAACTTTGGCAGTTTCGTGCGGAAAAATTTGATTTTTTGTAGAAAAATTATCCTTTACGGTAGAAATAGGCATCAAACTTTTCGTGCCGAAATTCGGCAGAAAGTCCTAAATTTTCGCCGACTTCCGATCTAAAAATCTCGGTTGTTTCTGCAAAGCGCGAGCTAGGATTCTCGCATATATTCTAGAAAAAAATATTCTAAATTTGTGCCAAGTTTCATCAAAATCTGAGCGTCGCACTTATTCTTCCCCTGTTAGTTACAAAAAGCTCCAAATTAATGTAACAGTAATCCGATAGTATTGGTCCTACCTTTGACATGCCGCCATATTCATTTCCAACACAAACAATCTGAATTTGGACGTTGAATGGGCACAAGAATGAGGTGAACAATAAAGGAAACAATTGGAAGTCACGGAAGGCCGAGAAGGCCGTTCCGTACTTCTTCATCATGTTGGGGACTGTCGCCCAGGACCAAAAAGTGTCCCCCTGAAGGTAGTTTGCATTAGCAATAGTAACCATGTGATTATCGTTTAAATTCATTGACTAATTTTAAGTTTTATCAGCTCTAATGTCATGATGAATATAAAAAGGTCAAAGAAAATTCGAATTTGGACTCCCACTCTTTTCAGATTTTAAAAATAGACTCCATAAACTACATCGCGACTTACCATAGTCATTTTGAAGTCTTTCGTATCGTAGAATTCAGTGAAAATATTCCAAAAAAGTTCAGCGCCTTTGACGGTGAACAGCCGGAAGGTCCCTTTCTCCGTGATCTCCTTGATGGACTTGATGAAAGACGGGAAAATGTCGAAGAAATACTCGGAGCATCGACTCACATCCACCTCCAGCTCCACGAGATCTTTGTAATTCACATCGTGGGGGATTAATTTGTCCACGATCACATTAAATCCCTCGGCCAAGATCACTCGGAGCTTCCGCGTCTTCAGATGAGGGGCCAATTGAAGCCATCGACGGACTTCTGAAGAAGAATTAAGACTAAATTTTGTATCAATAACGTTTAAATAGTAATAATGACAAAAAGTTAGGGGAAAAATTGAAATTTTTATGAATTACCCATCAAAATTTCAAATTAAAAATTTTTAATTTAAAAAATCTCCAAAACAAAATCTCACCATCTTCATGAGCCAACGTAACAACAAATTCGTCGTATTCCCGACACAACAAGTAGTTGTAAACATTCTGAAAATAGGCCTCGGAACATCGAAGATTGGCCAGCCAAAGCCTTCGAAGCCGAGGCATTCGGGAAAGATTGAGGATCGACTGAAGGGCACAGCAGTAGTAGGTGTCCAGTATTGACACTGAAAAAGATTACATTATGCTTATTGGTCAGTTAAATTACAATTACTAAGCATGAAAAAATATGTCATGATGACAGGTTTTTGAAAAAAATAAAAAAATTATTTCGTTAAATGTAAAATATGAAAGTTTGAGAGATTTTCAGTTTTCATTCTACTCAAGTTGCCTCATTTTCGGTCGATTTTCCCCCTCGAGATCCCGGAATCAAGATGGCTGATGTGCCGGAGTTGATGCAGAATGTCTGTGGGACCATCGGAGGGAACTATATGATCACTGAGATGGCCGACGATCCCATCAAACGGGATTACGGAGTTTATAATGCCTACGATCACGAGAGACCCGAGACTGTAGGTTACTGTACTTTGGCATACTGTAGTTTGGCTTGAGGTAGTTTTAGGCGATGTAAAAGGCGATTAATGTAACTTTAAGATATATTAATACTGTTCAGTTGATTTTTTATATTTTAAAATAATTTTTTTGCATTACTGTAGCTTCAGTTACAGTGACCAAGTAGAAGTTAAAAATACTGTACTTTCAGCCGACTCAAGTCCTGATTGCCAGTCTAGACACTCCAAAATGGCGTTGGCAGGCCTCAATGTCGGCCACTCAGACCGTTCTGGAGACCGTGAAGGGCCGTTCCGTCCATTTCCCAACTCTGGTTAAGGCGGCTAGGGTTAAAAGAGTAAGTAAAATCATGTCGTTCAGATATTCCAAAGTTCATATTTTACCATGCTGTGCTAAAATTTTTGATTTTTTCCAGTAATTCTTTTCTTTGGAAGAATTTTTTGTTTAGCTGATCATGTATAATATAATCTCAATTTTAGCTTGTTTTTGGAGCCGATGGAGTGCAGGACGTCGAGAATGACCCCGAGTACCTGAGACCGGTCCTGGTCCTTCAATCTCCCCGTTGTCACTCGCTTCTCTCGACTTTGGCTGCTTATTCCCCGTCTGGGTAAGGATAATATAAAATGTTTAGCTAAATATTCAAATGAAGCTCATCCGAATACAAGACGTATTTTACCGAATTTCAGAGTGCTCCCCGTGGAGTTGGCCATGTTTGTTGGGATCGGCATCACTCGTGCCCTGGGGGCATTGAATCGAGCCGGGTTTATCCACCGTCTGGTCTCTCCGCACAGCTTCTCCTTCGTCACCCCACCCACTCTGGACAATCTGAGCACCCGATTACTAATCACCGACCTCAGCTTGGCCATGCCTTGGCCGAAAAGGTAATGTTAACACAAAGTGAATTAACATTAATTTTTTGATGAATTTTGAAGTCTGAGATAATAATATGTGTTCCAGACCCCGCGGCGCTGTCCCTTTTGTGGGAACCATGCGATATTCGGCACTGTCCGTCCATCACAGCCGGGAACAAGGCCCCTCAACGGACATCATCTCCCTGATCTACGTGGTCGCCGAAATGATCTCCGGCAAGCTGCCATGGCGTTCGATCATGACTCAGCGACTTGTCAAAGAGGCCAAGACCCTCTTCCCTTCGTCCAAGGAGTTCCAACGCCTTCCGCATGAGATCAGAGCCCTCTACAAGGAAATGATGGAGACATACCCCCAGGCGGAGGTCGATTACATCGCCATTCAGGAGAAATTCAAGGCCGTCTTGAAGAGGAAGGACCCCAACAGCACCTACGAACTCCCGCCTTGGCTGGTCCAACCTTGCGAGGACTAGATTTTACTGATTTTGGAATAAACGCGAAAAATGATGACTAAAGGGCATGATGAATATAAAAAAGGTGCAGATTTGGCGAAATTTTGAATTAATTAGTCTTGAACGAAAGATACTTACGATCGAGTCCATCGAATGGAGGATGCGGCCTTTTGAATCCATCAAATATTATAGATGGCTTCAGGGGCATCAGGCCCAAATTCATATAAGTTACGACTTCTTTGGAAGGCACCACGAGATCAATCGAACCCCATTTGAGGATAACGAGGTAGAATAAGGCTGTAAATGTCAAAATCAAAGTAAAATTTGTTGAAATGAGACACTTTTTGTATTGCACTTACCTTTGTGACTGTCATTCCAAACAACCCGACCGAGTGAGTACCCGCAATACCACAATGCTTTCGTTACGAGATCAGAATTGTACCCTGTAAAAGCGCAATCGTTTTATTTCGAACAACCGTTTCCTAAAATACGGATTTTGAACTTACATTCCACATGGTCTTCCCTGAGCATCGAGCGCATAAATCGCCTCAAAACTTCTCGCCATCGGTAATTTACCGTCTGAAAACAGATTGATTGTACTATAAACAGCAATTATAGTAATCAGTAATCCGAATTTAATAACTTTTACTCTTCTAAATTGGGTCCCGCCACGAAAACCGGAAATTCCCCATTACCCTGAGGCGATTATTTTTAGGCAATTGTGGAAGATTTACGCGATTTACGAGCCAGACAGATGTCCATTAAAAAGGACCCGACTCTTTTTACGAGGACGTTTTGTAGTTCGACAGGGTTGTAGCCTAGATATTATATTATTATATTATACATGTGCGCTCTTGCTAATACTATGTTTTGAGTCGGTCTTGTGACACTTTGTAGTTGTTTTTGTATGCTCAGACCATGTGTTTCACCTTGAAATAAGCTGCGGTTCCTGGACCCGAATTTCCTTAATGGAAGTCCGGAAAATATGTCATCGCTAGCCATAAAAGGGCATCCATCACGTATTTTAAAAATAAAAATTTGTCAAGAGTATCCTTGAGAGTTCTCAACAGCTTTTTTACAATCTTTACTGGGAAATGGATCGGTTTTAAAGGTGTCATCATGACGGATTTTCTGGAATTTTCAAAAAATCTACATTTTGATGTGTAATATAAAAATAAATGGGGTATTCAAGTGAAAACAATCGACATACCATGAGAGTGCACACATCCCGGCTCTGTATCGCTCGGTTGGCCTTCCATTTGTCGTTAAATTGATAGTAAACATAGGGCAACACCTGACTCTCACTCCGCGATAACAAAAAATGTGCGAAAAAGTATCCCAAGGAGTTGGCATTCATCCGTTTGGGTGGGGACACGTCCACGTCCATTTGTTCCATAGCGGAACGCTGAAAAATCCAAAATTTCCCCCTCCAATACCAAGTACAATATAAAATATTGAAGATTAACAAAGTACAACCCAAAACAATGAGCAGGAATTGTGGGAGAGCGGACAAAAATGGAATTTGGAGCGTTCCAAAACGCTTTTTTGGACCGTCAGAATGGAGGAATGCAATAAATAAAATAAACGGATGATGTCATCACTGATAAAGTCGCGGTTTGCGTCAAGAAATGAATCAAAGTTTGCACAAGCGGGGCTGAATAATACTGAGCATTGAACTCCCGACCTCGACAAACACTGTGAACTCCCAAATGGACTCTTAATTCGCCAAATTTAATTAAAAAATTTAAAAGGTAACAAATTTTTGGTCTTTTCAGAGTAAAATGGGCCGATTTTAAGGAAAGTTATAACAAAATAAAATTGGAATTTACTGTCTGAAATTTCAGAAGACATATGGGGCATTTTTAGGTGGCGCTATGCAAAAAATGACTGAGAAAATAACGCCGGAAGTTTCCAAAAATTCAAAATCAAAAAAAGTTATGCCCTTTTTGGCTGAAACGTAAATTATTGAAAATGTAGGACTCCACAATTCCGATAAAAAATAAATTTCTTCTTTCATAAACGAAATTCAAGAAGTTATGGCCAAAAAAGAAGTTTTTTCTCTGACCGTCTCTTCATTTCCCACGCTCTCTCGCAAAAAGGTTATGTTTCTCGGACGCCTTTTGAAAGTATGATCTAAAATTTTCAGGAATTGACATACAACCTAGACAGAACAAGCATGCAAAATTTGAAGAAAATCGGACCATCGACCTTCGAGAATTTACCTCGGAAAAATAACGAGAGTTTTTTGGTTTTTTCAAGTTTCAAAAAGTCTGACCTCAACAAAAAAGGTTCAAACCGACGACTTAAAGGGCAAAAGAAGGAGCACAGCGGGTATGGTTATAATACATTCAAATCCACTGAGCTGTGAGAAAAGGTCAGTTACTGCACATTTTGTAACAACAAATATGGTAAACAAGGGCGTAACTGGCATGTTTTTGGATAATTAAAAGCATTTCCGATAGTTGTAAACACAACAAAAGTAGAGATTAGGGGATTAAACGGGGGTCTGATTACGGTAATTGGCCCGAAATAGCTGCAAAACGGATGGCCGAGGAGAATTTTTTGGAGCTCAAAACATGTTTACCACGCTCGCAATCAGAGGACGATTCGATCTTATTTTTGGTGGGAAAAAAGAAAAAAAATAAAAAAAAATAAAAAATAATGTCATCACTTTGCAAAGCAACTTCAAAAAACGTGTATAGACAATAAAAAAATGTTACAAACACTCGAGGGACCGCACCCGACCCTGCACTAGCGGCCCCACTTCCGCCCCTCGCTCTATTTTCCCGTTCGAAACGGTGAAAAAATAAAAAAAAATTGGAAAAAGTGCAAAACAAGGGCTGAAAACATTTCTCCGAAGAGGCGACGAAATAGAACGGACACAGAGAGTCATCTGGTTGTTTACTGCCCATAACAGCCCAAAGAGGGAGGACTGTCTGCCCGCCCTCCGCTCCCCAACGCACTCTTTCCGAGGGCGCCGCCGCTCTGGAAAACATCGAGAAACTCAAGCCGGTTGTTTTCCTCGTACTTTTTTAGTGCATAAACTAATGCAGGCGGAGCGTCGGAGGGGCGTTTACGAAATTATTGGGCACATTGTGTGCATAATGAAAGGACGGAACGTTCCTTTATGTTGGCGAGGCCGTAAACATCCCGAATTAATATCAAATGCCCGTCAAAGGTATGACAGCAAACATCAAAGTGAAGGCCGAGGGAAAAATGTATTTTGAGGGGTTGTTGAGAAACATGAAATACTCAAATTACATTAGAAATGTCAAGGGATATAAAAAAAGGCAAAAACAGGCTTTCTGCGTCTGACGGGAATCGAACCCGTGTCGATTGCTTGGAAGGCAACCATGCTGACCATTACACCACAGACGCACGCCTCTCTCCCTCTTCCAAATCAATTCCGATTCGAAAGAGAGACGAGAGATTGGAGAGAGCGAGAGAAAAAAGCGCCTTCAGCCGCAAAATTATCACGTAATCCGCGATAATTCGGTAAAATTTGCTCTCTTCGTCTTGACACAAATGACTGTCAGTCAGTTTGGATGGACTGTTTCAAAAATAAGCGATCAAAAATCGGCAAAACGAGGGAAAAAGTGGAAGGGAAGGTGTTTTATTCGAAAATAAAACATAAATAATGAACTCGGGACAACTTTCGGACGCGAAAAACAGCCGGCTATGGGTCGGCCAAAGAATATTGATCCTCGACGTAAAATTGTAGAGAATTTTGGGGTGAATTCGAACCATTTTTTGTGAATCTTTAATTTATTGCCCGAGGGCGGAAATGGGTTGCTCCCACAAGGACTTAAATTTATCAAATTTTATCATAATTCGTCACATCTTTCTGCAAAAACGACGACGTAATCGTGAAACCGGAGATGTTTCAGTGGGAACGGCCCGAGGGAACGTCAAAAATTGAAGTTTAAGGACAAAAAATGGCCCCCAAACAGCAAGAAATCATAAAAATGAAACAGTAACCCAGTTGCATGGAGTCGCATAAAGTGCAAATAAACACGTTTCCAGCCCTTATCGGGGCGACCGAAATACAGACGAAACAATGAAAACACAAAAACCCGCAGACTTTTTCGGATTAATAACACGTTTAGCGGTCTGGGGTAATATAATTTGTTAAATCGGCTGAAACGTCGGGCGCTGTTGTCACAAGATGCCTTCAGATGGGTCAAGAAAGTCATGAGATGTTCCTCAAAATGAAAACAAAAAGGGCGAATACAATCGAAGCCGGAGAAGAAGATCCACCTCAACCTGGACTTATAAATATGATTCGAAAGTTGTAAATAAGCAGTAAAAGGGGGCAGTAAATACACAAGGAGTAAATATTTGGGACCAAAGTTTCCCCAAACAATGTTTTCCGCAAAGGGCGTCAACAAAATTACTGGAGTTAAAGTGATTACAAGCAAAATATTTTGGGAAACGGGCCATAAAACATATTACACAAAAAAGGAGGGAAATTTGTAGAAAATGTGTAAAAACTGAGGTTGTAATTGAGGGCGGATCCAAGAATAGAGAGAGAATATAATGGTTACAATGTTGGGAAACTAGTGGGCCATGTTTAATTTTGAAATGTGCCCAATTACGGTGGTGACAATACTTTACAGCTGAATTACTCCAAGTGCAGAACTCGAATTTTCTTCACATTTTGCATGAATACTAGAAATAGGCCAGGTATTCACTTCTGGAAGTTTTGGGCTTCTCTTTGCAAAGGCGTCCGAGAAATTAAACGATCATTGCGAGCGAGAGAGCACAGGAAGTGAGGAGAGACGGTCAGAGAAAAAAATCGTTTTTCGGCTATTTCTTTTTGTATATAGGGAAAACTGATTGTTTTTTAGAAATTTTTTCCTCCATTTCAAAACCAAATCATGCCGAGATAAAAAAAAAGTTTCATTTTTTGGATGATCCGACTTAAAAATCTCGATTATTTCTCTAAAGCGCGGTCTAGAAGTCGCACATGTTCCAGAAAATCATACTCCAAACCTGTGAAAAAGTTCATCTGAAATCAAATTCCCACAAAAACTCGTTCGGTTCGTCTGCCAAGAGCTCAGACGATCAGAGAACTTTGGAAAAGGATGAAAAGAGGGAAGCGAAACACGAGAACTGACGCAAATTGTACTCGACAAACGTGCATAAGGTTAATTGGGAACAAAAAAGGAACTTGAATTCGAAAGGACATTTAATATTTCTTTCATTTGAGTGATCTTTGTGAGGACGTTTTTACAGTGTTTATTGTTGATTAAAGACTTTGCTTCCTACTGGAAGGAGACTACCGTAATCTTGTTCTTTTTGTTTATCAACAAAGGATCAGGACAGGTGCATATCAAACCATACGTATGGAGAATAAAAATAAATACAAATGGCACATGATCTCTTCTATTTACTGTGCGATCACGACCTGGCTGAGCACCGTAACTGGGATCATACTATCGTCAAATGGCGGTCTCTTTTTGAGATCCATCAACTTTCTCTTGCATCCAATCTCGTCTTCATTGTTGGGACAATCTTTTTTCCCATCGCATTTCTTCTGCGAGTCCACACAAGTATCACTTTTGGTGCAATGGAAAGTAAATGGCCCACAAGAAGTCGCACTGCTCGGAGCCTTTGCTGATTTTACACTCTCACAGATATCCTCATCGCTTCCATCAGAGCAGTCGCGGATCTCGTCACAGATTCGACCAGTCGGAATACAATCACCGGAGGAACAGAGGAAATCATGGGGACGGCAGCCATGCTTCAGCTTCGCTTTGGGCCCACAATTGGCTTCGTCCTGAAAGGCCTAGGATGAATTTGGAGTCAGTGCTTGCGTAATATAATTAGTTTCACAAGAATTGGATCTCTTTCGATCTTGAGTGTGAAATTTTCATTGAAAAATAGTGTAAGCATAAGCTATCAGATTTTAAAAAATTGTAGACATGCTCGTTTAGGCATGTCTACAATTCTACACTTTAACGTGATCCTTTTGAACTTCCAGAAAATCTGTTTTCTCCTAAAAATTATTTAAAAAAATCTAAATTTTTAACGTTTCTTTCGTAGGCTACTATAACACATTATTACGTCCCAACCCTATTTTAAAAGTCAAATCCATCCCCAAATGTCACATGAAAGGTCTGCAATCTCTTTCTCGATCATTGAGACCAACAATATGCATTGTTCTTCTCCCCCATTCCCTGCTTTTCCATGACAATGCCCTCGCTCACCTCCTGACCCGGACAATTCACCAGCCCATCGCACCACTGACTACGCCCAATGCACAGTCCAGACGCACATTCCAGCTGTGTTTTGGGATCACAATTCCTCAGATCTTGATCCCAATGGGGGAAGAGAAAGAGCAGAAAAGAGGGTACCCACATTACGCGACGGTATGTAAATGCAGTGGGGGTCCCAAATAAAGACTCATTATGCGGAAATAAAGGAGAACAAAGGGATCGGGAGTGGAGGTCAAGAGGCATTTGGCATTCAATTGGAGGGCACGGTCGGGGAATGGGATCTGGGAGAGGCCTGATCCAATAAACAGGTTGGGATCAGAGAACACCAAACTTCGTAAAATACTCAGACCTCTGCCAAGCTTTACAATGGGCTCAAAAAAGTTGTTTTTAAAATACGCTGGATGAAAATGATTCTTATTACTTATTTATTGAACAGAACTTTAAAAATCATTTAAATCTATTGCTCTCCCGATCCTTCAAGAACATCCACAACTTTCTGGTCGATCGCGTTTCCCTTGACAAGCGCAGAATGGGCACAGCGAATGAATAACGGCTGAACAACCACTTGATCCGCAGTTGTCTCCACTTTCCATCCAGCCCCATCCCCACACTCAATTGTAGTATATGTATGGTACAATTTAATGGGACCGAATGGAATCCAAACAGTCTCATTGGTTGTTAAATCAAAGACTTTGGCCAAAATCTGGGCATTGGAGGGCTGGAAGTCAACGGAATTACAGTAGATGGTAGCTCGAGCACAAGTCTTGGGTCGGGCGACATTGTATACGACGGTTGGGAAGGCACAGGCAAATTGACTGTCATGGAAATTGGGGTCACATCCGGGCTGAATGTGGATGGGCTGGCATTGGAGACAACCTGAAATAAAGGGAATCAATAATAAAGAGGAAAGTGAGAATGAAGGGAGTATAATAACAACCGGAGAAGTCTGTAGGGCCAAAGAATCAATTTGACGACAATTGGCAAAATAACCATAACTTTTGCAAGCATAGGTAGTAGCTTTTTATTGGATAATCATCAAAATTTGTAAGCGAAAATCTGTCTGCAAAAGGCGAAAATTTCCAAAAAAAAAAAATAAACTTACGAATATTTGGATTCCTTGCTTGAAATCCAGCTGCTCCTGGCTGACAAGCCAGCACACTACCGATGGACAACACAACAAGGGCCGCTGTTGTAAGAGAGAGTCTGCTCATTTTCAGCTTTACTTAATGACTGAAGAATTAACAATGATTGCAATCAACGTACTACCCTGGCTTTTATACCAAGTCCACAGAAAAAGAATTGCGTTGTCAGATCACAGAGTCGACGAATCCAAACATCTTTGCTACAAATTTGTCTGTTGAAATTGGAGTATCTGCGTTACGTCACTAATTTTAACATTGCTTTCTCCAAAGTCAATGAATTTCTGTCCAGAAATATCTGTTGTTGCGTAATTTCGCGTTCTAAAAAATGCCTATAAAATCTGACCAGCTGTCCCCTCATCATTCAACAATTCTTCATCCATCGAGTCAAGTCGTTCAACAAAGTTCAATATGATTTCAAGTGCTTCTTTGTTGATTTTGATCGCTTTCTTTTCATTACCTGTGATGATAATGGCTTGTTCTCCAGGCGCGGCCCTGTTTCAAGCTCAGAATGCTAATAACCGTATGAGTTTTGAGTTTTCATTAGAATTTTTGAATCGTTTTTTCGAAAAATGATGACTATAGGAATCATTCAAAAATTACTGAGTTTAATAATCGTATTTTAGGCTGTGTCCAATGCAAACCAATCTTCATCCAGCCTGGATGCGAGTCCACCTTCCACGACAAGCAGTTTGCCTGTGCAATCCCGATCATCACCTACAGTTTGGCCAGGCAAGACAACTGTGGCCGCGCTTCCGTTCACTGCAATTCCCTCGACTTCAAGACTTCCAACGCCCAAGTTTTGGTCCAAGTCAAGGATCTCTCGACCAATGAGACAACCTGGACTCCCATTGGAGCTCCTCAACAGCTGAGTACTCAAGTGGTGCTGAGATGTGGAAATGAATCTGTTTGGAACATCGATACGACTCCAGATCAACTGGTTTCTCAGCCAGTGCTCGTTCGTTGTGCCCATTCTGTGGTCCCTAGTGGGAATGAAATCGATGAACAAATTGTGGATGTGCTTGAGGGATCGGGCGAAGAATAATTAGCCAAAATGTTCGACTAAAAGATCAATAAAACAAAAAAATATAAATTTCTTCTGGCCTTTTCTTTTTTCACAGTCGATTCCAGAACATTTCAAACTGTTACCCATTTCTTTATTCAAATTAAATTATACTTACATTAAATGCGAAGTCTCAATAAATACATCTACATCAATAAAAACAAACAAATTTCAAACACAGTTATGGCAGTCGCCCTAAACACTTGTGATTATTTGGAAGTTTTACTCGGTTTGATTGTCTTTTTTCGATAGTTGTAGTAAATGTTAAAGCACAATGCGGAGAAGGCGATGAATAACCCGAGAAGTCCAATCGCATTCAAAGAGTGTTTGAAGTAAGCGGAGGATAATAAGATGGACGAGAATTGCCGGATTGTCATGATAAGGGCCAAAACGGAAGGTCCAAAGCGTTCGACGATCGCATAAATGAAGAATTGAGAGAGAGCACCACAAAATGAGAGGAGGAAAACATCAAAAGTTATCCGATTGTGAGTGAGGAGGAAGTTGATGGATGGGAAAAGCGAATTCTGCTCCAGAAGTGATACCAGACACAAAATGGCGCTGAATACATTGACGCCCATCATCATCTGAAAGAAATTTCATATTACACTTGATACTTTATATTATACGACGCAAAAAATACCAAAATCTTGAGAAAAATCACTTACTTGAATTCTACTAATCTTAGGTTTGATCTCAAACAATTTCTTTTGCCAATTAGGTGTGAATGCGTCAAACGCAAGGTACCCTATCATCAGTATTGACCCACTCACAGCAGCCCAAAACATTGCTTTCTGCTCTGTTAAACTGCCTTTCCCGGAGTCTGATATGGTGGAGTAGAAGAACAAAGCCGCCCCGATTACCAACAACGTCGCCGTCAGACATTCTCCTCGGGAAAACCGTTCTTTTCTCAGGATTCTTCCCATAATCATCGTTGGAATCAATTTGGAGGCTTTGCAAAACGTTTGAGTAGGAAATGAAACAAACTTTAGTGCCTCATATTGGCAATAAGAGGATAAAGTATTGGAAATGGAACAAAATGCATACATATACAATGGAGGGGCGTGCGGAGGTTGACTGAAAAAAAAAATTTAAACTTGATACTTAAAGCAGCATTATTTCCTGTCCAAATCTCTCACTTTTTCCAATCCCACCACAAATAGGACACAGCAACGGCTAATGCGACCACTCGATTTGCCAACACGAGGAACTGGGCGTCTGTGAAGTGGTCCTGTTCAATCTCTTCACCTTGATTTATTATTCTATCGTATTTTTGAGTCATAATTCGCTCTTGAAAGAAGCCCATAGACACCAGAGTGATCTAAAAGAAACTCAGATTACCTTAGACTTCATTTTCAAGAACATCAAAAGAACGGCTTGTACTTTACCTGTATTCCGACGAAAAATCCAAATAGCTGGGTCGCATGTTCCACAAAAGACAATGTCTTTTTTGGTTGTGCCGGCTTCTCATGTGTGACAAGAGTTGATCCAATAATTTCGGGACGTCCAACAGCAAATCGCCGGAGAAACAGCCTCCATAATGACCTGTTTCCACTCTCTCCACCATGATGACTGTTCACTAAAACTGTAATTCAAAAAATAACAAAAACGCTCACCTTTCTCATACTTCTCAACCCAACGAATCAACAGATATCCGGGAAGTAAAACTGATCCATATCCCAGCAGTATTAATGAAAACCGGACCGGCCAAGAATCGAAAAATTCGTCAGCCATTCTGGGGCATTTTATTATCTACAGGGTGGGGCATCTTTGTGGCCCGATTTGAATTGACTATAACTTCTTGAGTTTTTGGCCAAATTTTAAAATTCTTTTTTTCCCTGAATCGTCAGCCAACCCCATTTTGTTTGACACCAAATATGTTATACATAGTAAGTGTATATCTACAGTTATTGGATTTATTCTTAGAGTTCATTTTTTCGGTCGTTTTTCGGTTGTTTTTTCGGTCTTTCCCGGTGTGTCCGAAAATGGAGTCCGGTGTGGAAGAAAAGGCTTGGTCTGTCGTTTGGTATAGCAAGTACGGTTCGGCGATAAATTATTGGGGCCGGGCCGAAACGCCGGCCCGGCCGACGGGCCGGAAATGGTCCGGCCAGCCCGGCCGACCTGAAATCCGGCCGACGGGCCGAAATTTCGGCCCGGCCCGCGGCCCGGCCCAGGCCGGCCCGGGCCGGCCCGGCCCGGGAGCCATGTCTAGTTTGGTATAGAAAGTACGGTTCGGCGATAAATTTTCAAACGGGGATACCGCATAAAATACGGACGTAATGCCTAACCTCCAGATCGCAAGACAATTCGACGTTCGTGGAATAAGTTTCTTGAGACTGGTAGCGTTAAAAGGAAACAAAAAAAGCAGGAAAGATGAGTACGAACGGAGCTGAAAATTTAAGAAGTTTTGTCAAAATTCCGAGAAAATCCGCATATGAGTACACGAAGTTTGGCCAGAACCGAGGGAATGCCTTCAGCAAGGACGATTGGACGAACTCTGGAGGTTGATCTTCACTTTTTGTTCTTATTCTCATCGTCGATTTTCGGGAGGGTAAATTCCGCCGTATTTTTCTTCCGCACCGTACTCCATTTCTGGACACACCGGGAAAGACCGAAAAAACAACCGAAAAACGACCGAAAAAATGAACTCCAAGAATAAATCCAATAACTGTAAATATACACTTACTATGTATAACATATTTGGTATCAAACAAAATGGGGTTGGCTGACGATTCAGGGAAAAAAAGAATTTTAAAATTTGGCCAAAAACTAAAGAAGTTATAGCCAATTCAAATCGGGCCACAAAGATGCCCCACCCTGTAAAATAATATAAATGACGCTGGGGAATAAACTATGATTCTAAACCTAAGAAACACCGCCCAAAATTACGTCGAATAATCGTGGATTCCACGAAGGACAGTCCGAGAGTTTCAGACAAGATATTAATCAAGGTCTTCAGAGATAGCCATCTGAAATTTCCTACATGTCTACACTATCTTTGCCGCAGAAAGTTTTTTAAAAACATGAAATTAGACTATAGATTCTATCCGCAACAAAGTGTTTGATTCGGAGCGACATGATTCAAAGCGGATACTTCAACCGACACCAGATTCCCCCTTAAAACATTGAACCAGACCTCTCGCTGTGGATAATCTCAATGAAAGGGTAATCCGAATACTGAGCGAGTTCCCCTCCTCTCTCCAAAACTGTTGATCTAAACACAACATACAACAAAATACAAAACTTACTTCACAATTACCATCAAATTTAGTGAGACTCCATGAAGAAGATTCAAATGCTCTATTAGTAAGTCAAAAAAACAGTATGAACAATAAAATTCTCTTCGTTTCGCCCTATTTATGGTTGAATGACATAAGGTGTCTAACGATGCATCGTTACAAATGCTAATCAACTCGTTTTACATTTATTTTGTCTGTGCGACCTGCGCCCAGGGAACACCAAATTTTATCTTACAATTTTATGCACAAACTTTGGCTAAATGCGGCTTTTGCTACTTCCACTATCCACATACCAAACTTTGTTCAAAAATCACATCAAAATAAAAAAAAGAGAGATTTATTAAAAAAAGTGAGCATAAGTTATAGACAGACCAGATAGCAAGTGTTCGAGATCGTCCTATCGCTGCTTTTTCGAGGGTTTCCCTTTGATGGCTTTCTTCTGACCTCCTCCAAACATATTGGCCAGCACATCAGCCACATCGGGCATGTCCACCTTCGGGACTTGCATTGTTTGTTCCAATTCTTTCTTGAGTTCTGGATCGTTCGCGGCCAGTTTTGGGGTCACAACCATCAAGATAAAGGCGACTCCAAGCATAATAACCATGGGATTCATGAGGACGTCGGTGGCTCGCCATTGTTCCCTTTGGCGGAAGTATTTAGTGGGTTGGCGAGCTTGGAGACGGAGAGGATAAGGTAAAGTGGCAACGGCATTGGGCTGAAAATAAGGATGCGAGATGGTAAATGGTCAGCCTATTCATTCTTAATACCTATGTTTTGTAAATGATGTCTTTATTCGGCTGTTTTCGAACAAATCTCCTATAATTCCACTTGTTTTCAAACTAAAAATTCTTTTCTTTCGCAGTGGGATTTTCGAAGAGAAAGAGTCTCTCTTTCTCACCCAACTCGCCGCACGGCTGAGTGGTCTAGTGGTATGATTCTCGCTTAGGGTGCGAGAGGTCCCGGGATCGATCCCCGGCTCAGCCCAAAATTTTTCTTTTATGTTTTATGTAATTTTCCGATGGATCCAATTCAGGAATTTGATAATACAACTCAGAACCCCTTATTTCCTTGTGTGTACGTAGTAAATACAGCTGTAAATTTTCGTTTACCTGCAGAACATTCAACTTCCTTGCCCGAACTTTTCCTTTGGAATTGACATCAACTCTGATTGGCTCGAAAATGTAATTGACGTTGGTAACCTCGAGAATATAGGAGCCAGAAGGCACTCCTTCAACAACGAAATATCCGTCATCCCTAAAAGAGCCAATAGAAACCAAAACTCCCAATACCTGATAAATCCAATATGTTTTCCATAATCCAGAAGGACTTTACTTTTGGCTTTCCAATTCTCGGGAGGGACCATTCCATGTCCTAAACTGACCTGGCCTTCGATAGAAAACCGTGGGGTGTCCATAAGTTCTGAGGGTGTATCGGCGGAAGCGGCCAGAGCCAAGACTGCCAACAGTATCAACTTCATCGCGTCTAAATAAGGAAGAAATAAACGTCACGAGAGATTGTGATTGGTATTCTCAGCGTTTATACGCAAGATATTTTAGCACACATAAAGAACAAACAAACTTTATCTTTACAAAGTCTAAAAAATTGATACGTAAAGGCCAGATTAGAGATTAAGATGAGAGCCCTGACATGGGGACTGGTTTTGCTTACGAGGGAATGGTCTGAACTTCCCCCAGCGTTTGGGAAAATGACTAGTACAGGTGGATAGAGCAGGTCAACTTTGGTAAAAAGAGCCATTTTCCAGCTGCGGAATAAGCCCGGCCGACGAGAAAAATCGACCGAAAGTTCCACAAAAATTTCCTCTTTCTCTTCCCTCGGAAAAGAAGAGCGGTGTCCAGTGGTTCGGTTAGCCGAGTGGATAAAGCATCCGCTCGATATTCTTTTGGGGGTGGGTTCGATTCCGGGGTCTCGCGAAGGACTGTGAAAAGGCTTTGAGCAAGATCAAACTCTAACAACCCAAAAAAAAAATTTATTTTGTCTGTTTCAAAGTCAAGTCTATCACCAAAGGATAACTTCGACGTTCCATCGCCTTGAAGGTTTGGAAGCAAAAAATTCATTTGTTGACGATTATTTTTTTGGTATACCAAAAATTATACGCCTATAAGATGTATAAAAATGGCAAAATATTTTTTTGGGTTGTTAGAGTTTGATCTTGCCCATCAAAGCCTTTTCACAGTCCTTCGCGAGACCCCGGAATCGAACCAACCCCCAAAAGAATATCGAGCGGATGCTTTACCCACTCGGCTAACCGAACCACTGGACACCGCTCTTCTTTTCCGAGGGAAGAGAAAGAGGAAATTTTTGTGGAACTTTCGGTCGATTTTTCTCGTCGGCCGGGCTTATTCCGCAGCTGGAAAATGGCTCTTTTTACCAAAGTTGACCTGCTCTATCCACCTGTACTAGTCATTTTCCCAAACGCTGGGGGAAGTTCAGACCATTCCCTCGTTAGACCAATAAATTAACCATAAATAGGCGGCAAACTCGGATTCTTGAAGGCACAGAAGACATAATACTAGATGACGATCATTTCAGTTGAAGTGCTTGAGGAACTCTTCCGCTGAGGTTCTAGCTCGGGCATTCAAAGCAAGTTTCATCTCGTTGACTTCCTAAAATGATATTATATTTATATTACACTTGATAATTCATCATCAGTAGAATACTATGAACAAAACTCGTACTCGATCAATTTCTTGCATAAAATGAATAAGGAAGTCGACCAGCTTGTGTTTGTACATGCTCTCCATGTGAGCTGCAGTTATCAAAAAGCTAATATCATATCCCGGAACTGCTTTCCTTCTCAAAACAACAAAATCATCTGCTCGTTGTGCCATAAAGTTGGTGAATTTGTGACAGAGAATCTTCTCAATGTCATCTGATTGTTTGACAGAGATCGAAAGACGTACAGAGTTTATAGAGCCTTCGATTAACACCCGTTCATTCTTATTCCTAGCTATAATAACTGGCTGAAGCAGTAATTCCTTGGACGTTCTCACTTCCACCTAAACATGAAATCAAACAAACAAATAGCCACTCACTTCTGGTTTATTATGTCTTTCAACAACTTGGGAACTAAATTGCTCCAGACATAAAGCGGCATCTAAAGTTCGTCGGACAGCATCAAGATAAGGTTGGAGGGTGGTCGTCTAAAAAGAAATTTCATACACTGCCAAACAAAAAGCAAGAAGACTAAACAGCATCATTGATGTTTCTAGCAAGAAATATCGGGTCTAAACGAATCATTCTTACCATTTCAGCTCCGCCAGTTTCCAAATATAAAATAAAAAATAAATATGGTCAATTCTAGCCAAAAAAAATTGATAGAAAAATGGATTCGAGCCTATAAACCACCAAAGGACCCTCGAAATATTGTGAATCACAAAGAAAAAATAATAAATCCTTGCAAAACGAAATGTCCAAGGAAGTATTGGGTTTTTGGACAAAATGTCACACGAATTATTGGAGTTTGCGGCAACTTGGCAACTTTTGGAGTTCGTTGTTTACTTTTACAAATTTTTGAGTCTATTGTTTTTCAATTTGTAGTTTTGACCAGTGTTTCATTTATATTTCTTTACCCTAAATTTTTGTTTATCTTGAATTTTTAGGTTCAATGATGAGCAACTCCAGGAGTTGGATGGAACAGCTGGCAGAGTACGTCAATAACAGAGAGCATCTTTATGAAGGGAAAAATGTGCACATTCACGGTATCGTTGTGGATAATTTTTGTATTGATTTTAGATTCGACTTTGGCCGTTGGTCACTTTCTGGCTGCCAGGTATCACGAGGTTCGTGCCAATGTGCATTTGATTTGCGACGACACACCTAAGAATAGGAAGAAGATCAGAGGAGAGGTATGGGTAGTTTAAATACGGTTTTACTTGAGGTTTTCAATCATGGATAACATATTTTTTGGACAAGTTGAGTGTGTTTAGTTTTTAGGTGCCTTATCAGCTCAGCTTTACCTCCAGACAACTCGACTTCAGCCCGGACGTCCACATTTTAATCGTAGTTGTGCCACTTTTAAGCGAAATTGACGATACCGAAATTGGAACTACGATAACCGAAGCCTGCATAAACATAATTAAAAAGTAAGATGGAAGGCTCCAATTTTGGGTACTATACTTTATGTGTTTTCAGTACTGCTAATCTTTTGAGTGTTTTTGAAAGCAAATTGTTCGAAAATCAAGGAATGTTTGCTCTGGTCGGCCCTTCTCACTCAAAAGAAGGCAAAACAAGTGATCCGCTCTACAATCACACTTCAATTTTGGTGAATCAGCTGACGGATTCCTTATCTCATCGACAGGGAATTCACCGGAGCAAGGGATCAGATGTGATCTTCAAATATGTTCAGTAAGTACCTACTACGATTTTTAGACTGTTACCCCCGAGGTTTTATCTCTAATTGCAAATTAAACTATTTCAGACGTCCGTGTGTCCTGGACGACACTGAAAACATAACTACTGAAGAAGAACGCATCGCATTAATCTTCGCCCAATTGGATGATATATTCGAACCACCCTGGCCTGTTGCCGCTGCGAATGTTGAGACTAATCCAACAGGCCAGAAGAAACTTCATCTCGATCTGAGTGTTGAGGATCTGTTTGGTTGATATTGTTTTTATGGCTAATTCCTTATTTTAATATTGTTTTGATGGTAATAAAGTTTTATTTTTATGTGGAGTGGTATTAGAAAGGCGTGGAAAATGTTGTTATTCCTCTGAACTCTTTTCATTTATGTGTTACCCAAGTCTTCCTCATTCCTTCCTTTCCAAATGCTCGATTTCCCGCGCTTTTCGGACCTCTCTTTCCGTAAGCCCCGCCCACTCCCCGCCACCGCTCAGCAGGGAGTATAAAAAGGAGGGCGCTCTTTTATTCTTCACAGTGTTCGTTCATTTGCTCGACACAACCGGCGATCAACAACTATGGTTCCGAAGCCAACTGGAAAGGGTGCCAAGAAGGCGGTGAAGTCTACGAAGGTGGCGAAGACCGATGGAAAGAAGAGAAAGAAGTCCAGAAAGGAGACCTACTCCGTCTACATCTACCGTGTCCTCAAGCAGGTCCATCCCGACACCGGAATCTCATCGAAAGCCATGAGCATCATGAACTCCTTCGTCAACGATGTCTTCGAACGTATTGCCGCTGAAGCGTCTCGCCTCGCCCAGTACAACAAACGCTCGACCATCTCATCCCGCGAAATCCAGACTTCGGTCCGCCTGATTCTGCCCGGAGAGTTGGCCAAGCACGCTGTTTCTGAAGGCACCAAGGCCGTCACCAAGTACACTTCTTCGAAGTAAGATGGATTCGACTTTTGGCTCCCGCTTCACACCCATTTGATCCCAAACGGCCCTCTTTAGGGCCACATATTACACTTGTTTTTGATGTTTTAAATAAAAATAAATAATTTGTATTTCTTTGATAGACTTTATGAATTAGGTAACAAAAATTTTGTGAATGGATTGATGTTTGATGTTGCTTTTTTACTCTGTCGAAGAGAGAGGTTGTCTGTGCTTCCAGAAAATAAATATTCTTTGAACTTGCTCTTGTTGTTAATTTGGAACGAGAATAACATTGACTTCCGTGAAGAAGGATTTGAGTAGAAAACGGCGTATAGAAGGCTTTGATTAGAATTTTTGGTGTTTACTGCCTTGATTAGCAAGTATGGAGTAATTTTTCTTATTTTTATCACTATCGCATGAATAACCTATAGTTCGCAAGAATGAGCAAAAATTTTGTAATTTGCTTTTGAATCGGCGCGAAAAGCCCGCGAAACAAAGCCCCGCCCCCTCTGTTTGGAACGGGTATAAAAGAAAGAGAAAGCCCGCTCTCCACTCATACGCTCACTTTAGTGTCGTACTCGATCGAAACAATGTCTGGACGTGGAAAGGGAGGAAAGGGACTCGGAAAAGGAGGAGCCAAGCGCCATCGCAAGGTCCTCAGGGATAACATCCAGGGTATCACCAAGCCCGCCATCCGTCGTCTCGCTCGTCGTGGTGGTGTGAAGAGAATCTCCGGCCTGATTTACGAGGAAACCCGTGGTGTTCTCAAGGTATTCTTGGAGAACGTGATCCGTGATGCCGTTACCTACTGTGAGCACGCCAAGAGAAAGACCGTCACCGCCATGGATGTGGTCTACGCTCTGAAGCGCCAAGGCAGAACCCTCTACGGATTCGGTGGATAAGATCTCAACTCTTCTGATGCCCTCCAACAACGTTCTCGTTTGTTATTGATCCCAAACGGCCCTCTTTAGGGCCACAAATGTAATTTTCTTACTTTTTATTGCTTGTGATTTTAGAATAAATGTAATTGAACTTTATGGAATGATTAATGTTCAAACGGGTATGTTACATGCTTTGGCTTTTAGGTGATGTTCGTATTTTGATAGAGAGTTTAGCGTTCGAACTCTGGCAAAGTCGAGAGAATGGAAAGTGATAATAAGGCTGTGATAAAGCGGTTGTTCAACCGGGTTGTAATCTAGACAGAAAACGTTGGAGCTGGCTGTTTTGTAACGAATTTTATGAAATTAGAGATGTAAAACATTTCAATTGTTATGAATAAGTTAGATTTTTGTATAGTGTTCTTCTTTTTCATTTTTGATATTCTTATATTCCAAGATCTTGAAAGAAATTGAGTAATAAGGTGTAGACGGAGGAGTAAACAAGATCCTAGGTGGATTCACAACTCCTCTTATTTCTCTGCGTCTCTCTTGAACTCTATACTCTCTCATTTGTTCGTTTTCGGCGGTAAAAACAAAAAAGCGCGGGGAAGCGAAACACTTGGCTCAAACGAGAGACTTGTCTTCTATTTACGACTCCGCCCACTCCACCAGGAGGTATAAAATGAAGAGAGGAAAGCTGTTCGCCCTCATTGAGAATTCGAAACAACTCGCTCTCACCGCTTTCTACAACAATGTCTGGACGTGGTAAAGGTGGAAAAGCCAAGACCGGAGGCAAGGCCAAGTCTCGCTCCAGCCGTGCCGGACTCCAGTTCCCCGTCGGTCGTCTTCACAGGATCCTCCGCAAAGGAAACTACGCCCAGCGTGTTGGTGCCGGCGCCCCTGTCTACCTGGCCGCTGTGCTCGAGTATCTGGCTGCTGAAGTTCTGGAGTTGGCTGGAAACGCTGCCCGTGACAACAAGAAGTCGAGAATCAACCCTCGCCATCTTCAGCTCGCCGTCAGAAATGACGAAGAGTTGAACAAGCTCCTCGCTGGTGTAACCATCGCCCAGGGTGGTGTCCTGCCCAACATCAACGCCGTCCTTCTGCCCAAGAAGACCGCTGAAAGCCAGTCCTAAGCTCATGATCTCGTTGGCTTCCGCCTGAGTGTTTCTGATCCCAAACGGCCCTCTTTAGGGCCACAATTATTAATATTATACTTGGTTCTCATTAAATCTGCGATTTTTTCATTGTATATTGTTTTTTTTTTTTTTTTTTTTGATTTGCATTGGTTTTCAGATAAATAAATGTCAATGGATGAAAGCTTTTGGACGGCAATGTTAGACTTCTTGATTTGTTGTTGACGTTTAGGTGATAGATGGTAAATCGACTCAAAACAGTTGAATTGGGCTCGAAAGTGCCAAGAGAAATGTTCTCTGCAACCCTAAGTGTAGTTTTCTTGACGATTTATGCACGTAGTTATCAAATCATGAAGTTTTGATCATGTATGTACAATACCTGTTTTTTCAGAAATTCGTTAATTTTCTGTTTTGGGACAAGAATCGTTTTTTGGCGCCAAATCCTTCCTTAAAATAAGCCCCGCCTCTCCGTTTTAGCTCCGGTATAAAAGCTGGGAGCACCCCGGTTCGGTATCAGTCTCCGTTTTTTCGGTGCCCGACTTCAGCTCAAGTGCAACTATGGCTCGTACCAAGCAAACTGCCCGCAAATCGACCGGTGGAAAGGCTCCTCGCAAGCAACTGGCAACCAAGGCCGCACGGAAATCCGCTCCAGCCACTGGTGGAGTGAAGAAGCCCCATCGTTACCGCCCTGGAACCGTCGCTCTCCGTGAGATTCGTCGTTACCAGAAGTCGACCGAGCTCCTCATCAGAAAGCTGCCCTTCCAGCGCCTGGTCCGTGAGATCGCTCAGGACTTCAAGACCGATCTGCGTTTCCAATCTTCGGCTGTTCTGGCTCTACAAGAGGCCAGTGAAGCCTATCTGGTTGGACTCTTCGAAGACACCAACCTGTGCGCCATCCATGCCAAACGAGTTACCATCATGCCCAAGGACATCCAGCTGGCCAGAAGAATCCGTGGTGAACGTGCCTAAGATGTGGATCTTCTACTCGGTCGACGAGCGACGCTGAATCTACTGATCCCAAACGGCCCTCTTTAGGGCCACATCACGCTGGGTATTTTTTCTTTGATGTTGTAGACTTGAATAAATAATTGTATTGTGTTTATCCTATTTTGGATGGGTTGAGATTTGCTTTATAGGTAGTTATTCAAGCGGTCAATTTGGAAGGAGAACGTTATTGAACACAATTTTGTGATGAAGGACTACAGCGGATAATAAGGTATATTGAAGGATTAGTTTAGAATTTTTGCGTTGGTTAGCTCAACAGAGTAGATTTATAACTAAAACAATGAACTGGTTAACACACTGTTTCAAGGCAATAAATACATCACCAAGTACACCTTATCCAAAAGCACACAGATTGGCATTTCGAATGTGTCAAAACCGTTTATTATTGACGCAGCAAAACAAGAATACTAAGAAATTCAAAGATTATAAATTACTAGAACACTCGTATCATTATCACTAGGACCCAAATTATTCTTGAGCATCAGCCTTTTCAACGGCGAATGGTTCAGCAACTTCTTCGGCAGTGCATTTCACGATAATCACAGGGGATTCTGGTTTGTCACCGGACAAAGTCTTGGTGTTCTCGATCTTCCTTACCACATCCATACCGGAGAGGACCTTTCCAAAGACGACGTGTCTTCCATCCAACCAGGAGGTCTTCTTGACGGTGATGAAGAACTGAGATCCGTTGGTGTCCTTGCCAGCGTTTGCCATACTCAACCATCCAGCTCCCCAATGCTTCAGCTTGAAGTTCTCGTCAGCGAACTTTTCGCCATAGATGGATCTGCCTCCAGTTCCATCTCCCTTTGTAAAATCTCCTCCCTGGATCATAAAGTCTTTGATAACACGATGGAATCCACTGTTCACGTATCCTTCCTGAAAGCAGAGGTCGGATTACACCTAACTTTGGTTGCTTTATGTGAAATAGATCAGAGACACGGGTTTTCCTACAGTACAACTAGGTCTCGAACCATGTATAATATAGAAATTATTTCTATACACTGTTTTCAGGCCTAAAAATCAAGAAAAAAATAAAACGGACATACCCCAGCTGGTTTCTTGCAAAGTTCAACAAAGTTCTTGACGGTTTTGGGCACGGTCTTTCCGAAGAGTCCAATCTCAACTGTTCCAGCGCTCTTCCCTCCAATTTCAATGTCGAAAAACACCTTGTCCGTTACTTTCGGTCCTTTCGGCTTTTCATCTGCGCACAGGACAACGGAAAGGAGGGCCAACGACCCAATGAAGGCCAGGAGTTTCATCTAAAACAAAAAATATATTTTTTATCCGGCTAAAACAACAAGAGCGAATGACAAAGGAGATCAAATGAACATGATTGTACACGTTTCATAAAATAGGTGTTTCCCACAAAAGGTTTGTGGCTAAAACGCGGGCAAGTCGAATGTCTAACTGACGCGGCGCTCCCGATAATGACGAGGTCGAGAGCAGCGAAAATTAAAAAAAGTGAACCAAGTTGGAGGTCTCGAATATTCGACAGAAAATTACAAACATTTACACGCGAAATTTGCATGCTCCGTTACTAAATAAGCTTAGAATTAACTAATGCACAGCATTTCGAATTATTTCTGCCGTCGACCGACGTGCGAAAAAATGAAAAAATGAGATTCGCCCCTCACATTTTTGCCAATATCTCGGTAGCCACGAAGTGTAGCGCGAATCTGAAAATTGTGTTTAAAAACTGACACAATTGTCCTTCAGAATTTATAAATTTTGTAATGACACTTATTATGTACGGCGAGGAAACCTTTGCTGAAAAATGGCAAATTTCAACATTCAATGCCAGAAAAATGTACTTTCTAAGTGCCAGATCACAAAAATATGGGCTTGATTGTATACAGCATCTTGAATACTATAAGATATAACAATTTCAAGCATTTTCTGGCCCGATTCAGAGTTATTGCCGAAAAACTGCAATTTTGGCCTTTTTATTGAGCTATCTGAACTTTAAAAGTACATACAAAAATCCCTCTTTGACGAACTTTGATTTTTAAATCCACATTACGCAGCTTTGTTCACGTTTTAGGAAGTAGCTTTCACCGCCTACACGTGCAATAAAGAGGCCAAACGCTTCCGGGAAAGGCCTCTCTGGGAAATGGTGTTCAAAATGCTGTATACGATGAAGCCCATAACTTTGTGATCTGGCACTTAGAAAGTACATTTTTCTGGCATTGAATGTTGAAATTTGCCATTTTTCAGCAAAGGTTTCCTTGCCGTACATAATAAGTGTCATTACAAAATTTATAAATTCTGAAGGACAAATGTGTCACCTTTTAAACACAATTTTCAGATTCGCGCTACACTTCGAGGCTAGCGAGATATTGGCAAAAATGTGAGGGGTGAATCTCATTTTTTCGGACGCCGGCCGGCGGCAAAAATAATTCGAAATGCTGTGTAATGCGACATTTACAACAAGATTTTCTTGTAATCTGTATAAAAAAATCCGAAACGAGAAATGTATAAATAAATTTCCTTTCTTCCACAAAATAGACCGCAACGGAGAGGGGCCGAGCATCTGCTTCCGTGGCGCAATCGGTTAGCGCGTTCGGCTGTTAACCGAAAGGTTGGTGGTTCGAGTCCACCCGGGAGCGAGTACTTTTTGCCTTTCTTTTGAATTCCTACTGTAACAACAACCGGATGAAAAAGTTCATCCTCCGTCCCTTTTATCTTCGGCTTCCAACTACTTACGCCATCTGGTCTATAAGTTCAGCAAAAATTCGTTTCGAGGTGAAAAAATTTATATTTATTTCAAGAAAACAAGGGGAAACAAATAACAAGAGCTCCTACTGCACGGCAAATATATATAATGACACAAGAGGTTTAGTGTTGAGTCCATTGGATTGACTTGAGGTCGATTCCTTCTTGAACCATTTCCCAGAGAGGCGACATTTCCCGGAGGCGTTTGGCTTCTTTAATACACTTTTGGGCGGTAAAAGCAACTTCCTAAAATGTGATGATAAATCAGTGAAATGCAAATTTAATAAATAAAACTATAATATAAACAGTTGCACCTACCTCAGCAGTTGTGAATCGGCCAATTCCGAATCTGATGGAGGAGTGGGCCAGGTCTTCGTCGGCTCCGATCGCCCTCAAAACGTACGATGGTTCGAGTGAAGCGGATGTGCAAGCCGACCCCGAAGACAAAGCCACATCCTTCAAGGCCATGAGGAGAGATTCCCCTTCCACGTAGGCGAAGGAGAGATTTACACAGCCTGGATACCAGGCATCCGGGTCTCCATTCCTGATCACCATATCCAATTCCCCATTAATGGTGTTGATCAGGAGATCGGAGAGTTTCTTCACATGTGCTAGATCAAAGTCATGTTCTCTTTGAGCGATGGAACAAGCCTCCCCGAGGCCGACAGTGAGGAAAGCGGGCAAAGTTCCGGACCTCATCCCTCTTTCCTGGCCTCCACCGCTCATTTGGGCCTCAATTCTGACTCTAGGTCGTCGTCGAACGTAGAGAGCACCCACACCTAAACAACTACAATACTCATGATCTCCAATTTCTCTATGATATATTTACTAAAATTTTACCTTTAGGTCCATAAATTTTATGGCCACTGATGGACATCAGATCGATTTTGAGGTCATCAACATTTAGATCTACCTTCCCAACGGCTTGGGCAGCATCAGTGTGGAATTTGACGCCCCTCTTACGACAGAGTTCACCTAAAACATGATGCAAATAAAAAAACATCAGCCATTTTCATTGGTCCTAACGAATAATAATAGTTCCCAAAACCCTTACCAATCTCTTTCAATGGTTGCCGCACTCCAATCTCGTTATTCACAGCCATAATCGAGACCAGTGCAGTCTTCTCCGTGATGGCTTTGTCCAATTCCTCCATGTCTATTATTCCATTTGTTTTGACTGGAAGATAAGTAACTTTGAAGCCTTCGTTCTCCAAGTATCGGCACGAATCCAGGACACACTTGTGTTCCTTTAATCATAAATCTCGGTTAATCTCTATATTCGGCATAAAATAATCAAAGGTTTATATTACACTAGACAAGCTGATCGAAAAACTACCGTTTGCACTGTGATCACGTGGTCTTTGCCGGCGTTTTTGTAGAACTTGGCCACTCCTTTGATTGCCAAGTTGTTGGACTCGGTAGCTCCGGATGTGAATACGATTTCTCGATGATCTGCGCCTATTAATTCGGCAACTTGGAGCCGTGCCTTCTCCACAGCGGCTTCAGATTCCCATCCATAGGCGTGAGTTCTTGAATGCGGATTGCCAAAGTCATTTAGCATGTAAGGAAGCATGGCGTCAACCACTCGAGGGTCCTTAAAATCGCATGTTATTGTAGATAATGTTAGGTCTTTTAAGGTCCAAAAATTAAAAAAATTTTTTGATTTTCTTTTCCCTCAAGAACATCAAAAATGTCTTTCTTTTGACTTACCATTGGTGTTGTTGACTGCACATCCAAATACAAAGGCCGGACCAACGGCAGTGGCTTCTCTGTGAACTCCTGGACACTCGATTTGGCCTGCGTTGACTGAGCTCGGACAGCGGCCCGAAACGGCCGAAATAAATGCTTCCCAAATGACATCTAACACAGCCAATATCATGGGTACCTCTACTAGCCATTTCAAATAATCAAGGTTAGAACTAACCACCGTCTAACTGATCTAACTCTCTTTTATCTTATACTTTATTCTCTTGAATACAACAGACAGGAAAAAAAATAAAATCAGATACCAGTTTAGTGTTCTTGCATCTGTTTGATGACTTAAAATAGAGTTAACTCGATATTTCAAGCCGGACCGACCAGTCATATCAATTATCAAAAGCCAAATCGAGATAAAACAAGTGGATTTATGGGAGAAATCGGGCGAAAACAGGGGTCGGAAAGGGTCTCGGTTAAAACAAGTGGGAATCTGAAGCTCGAGGATATTCGGAGACAGATTTAATACCAAAAAAACAACAACAAAAAAGAGGGGACAACAACAATCAACATGAACATGTTTTATGTCATCAAAAATTGAGAAAGAGACGGAAACTCTAATTAAAAAAAAATTTTAATGAAAAACGGGTTAAACAACAAAGAACATATAAGGAGACCACTTTCCTCTTTCCTTTTCGGGATTTGTGCATCGAAATTAAACCTGGGGCCCATTTCCCAGCGAATTGTTGGAAGCGGCGGTCGACAAAGAGGCTGAAGCTGGGGTCTCCGGGGCTTTCGCTGAAACAGATTACAAATTACGCCACTCAACGCTGTCAAGCTTTTCAACAAAGATTTTAACTCTTGTGTTCCTTTTTTTATATTACACATAACAAAGTAGACCTCAGATTGCCCTAAAACCAAAAAAAAAATCAAAAACTAAAGGTTACCCTCGGCATTCCTGAGATTGTCCTGGACGACCTGAGCAAAGTAGGGATGACTCATGGCCTCGCGTGCGGTTAGTCTTTCCTGATGATCGTAACGAAGAAGTTTGTCCAAGAAGTCAATGGCCTCGGACGAAACAAGATGCTGGTTCTCGGCATGGACAAAACGCTCCCATCGTTTCCGTGAGTGCCTAAAAGTTTAATTTTAAAACCTCTATAATCACTTTGCCATCAAGTATAATATAATCTGGTATTACCTTCCCAGAATCTCGTTGAAACGATGATCCAATTCGATATGATACTTCTCGATGTACATAAACAACTCGTCGGTTCCCAAGACCTTGGCGATTCTCACCAACTAAACAGATTAATTATAAAGTGGCCTTATCATACCTGGTCATAGTTATCATGGCCGTGGAAGAAGGGCTCCTTGCGGAAGATCATCGAAGCCAACATGCATCCCAAACTCCACATGTCAAGTGAATAATCATAACACTAAAAATGAAACATAAACCAAACAAACACATCCCTTACCTGATAATCGACCAACAGTTCGGGTCCTTTGAAATATCTGGAGGCGACTCTAACATTGTACTCTTGTCCCTGATGATAGAACTCGGCCAATCCCCAATCGATAAGACGGAGCTGCCTCTTTTCGTGATCAATCATCACATTGTGTGGTTTCACATCTCTGTGCATAATTCCCATGGAATGGCAAAAGTCCAAAGCCTTCAGAAGTTCGTAAAGATAAAATCGTATATCGTAGTCGGAGAGAGTTTGATACAACTGCTTGAAGTCGGTGTTATTCACATATTCGAAGACCAGAGCAGGCGTTCTGGAGACATGGTCCTTCACTACGTCCAACAAAGTGATAATGTTCGTGCCGCCTCTGAGATTCTCCAAGATCTTGATCTCTCTCTTGATCTTCTTCTTTTTCACGGGCTAAAATAAGAGGTTAGTGGTCGAAAAGTACAGAAAAGGAAGCTACAGAGTCTTGGCCGTTTAGCTGAGAATGAAAGTCAACCCTTATTTCCGGTGAAACCCCGCTTTCGATCAATTTATCCATGAACATCTCCTAAAACCGAAAACACCAAATAAATTCCTTACCTTCAAGATTTTTATAACAATCTTCTCATCGCTTGGAAGCTTGACTCCCTCGAAGACCTCCGAATACTTTCCCCGTCCCAATTTGCGCACCAACTGGTAGTCATCGATGTTTCCCCATTCGATCTGATGGGCTTCATAATTCCAATATTCCCGGGGCTTCTTCATTGTGACATCCGCGTAAACGCGGGCACGGGATGGGACCGGCATGCTCTTCTCCGGCAAAACAGGGAAGCTACGGGTGCACGGAACGTCACTATGGGAGGACAAGTCCCGGCTCCTACAACTTCAATTATAATATTAGTAATTTATATTACACCTGGTTTCGACTTTGAAATTATCGATTCAACGTACAAAATCAGTAACCTTTGAGCAAAAAAACTGGACCTGATAAAAAGACTACATCAGCAAATCAATTCCAATAATTATTTATGACCAACAAACTGTTTTCATCGAAAACCACGAGATTTTACTACATTATCCTACCTGTTTCTGAATACCTGCTGGAAAATGAGAGTCGGCATCCCACTTCACCAACGAAAGACGTTTAAAACCCTGAGCGCTATCTCTAATATTTCATTTCCGGCTTAGCCCGCCTTGGCACTGGTATTAATTTCATTCTCAGATACGCAATGGTTGTAAAATCCAAAAGCAATGCCAATAATCATAAGCTCCACCTAATCTTACACTCAGCGGAATGAAAAGACTGTAATTCCAAAAATATTCCGAGACTCCCCATCTTCTACAATATCGGATTAAAATTTGATGAAGGCTCGTCGGAAATAATCCAAGAGACGTCGGAAAAGGCATAAAAACTTACGACATGATCATCTAGACCAGACGGAGACAGACAAAAGACTTTTTGGATCTGGAAAAATCGAGATTTTATTTGGCTCGATCAAAGAAATTGGTGAAAGACAATAAAAATCGAGCGAAAACAGCAAAAACACCCACGTTTCCGGGTCAAATTAGCATAAAAGGGTTTTCAAAGACAATTTTGAAAGTGTCGAAGGTCCCTGACTCGTAAAAACGTTATTCATTCAATCCAAATTGGGCCAAAAGCTTGAGATTTTTTGGGATTTTCGAAATTGTTTGGAAGAAATCGTAACTGCGCTGTAAAAATTTATCAGAAGCACTAAAAAGCATGTGGAAAAAAAGAAAAATACGAGATGAGAAGAGCATCATTTACTTTTTCTGCTTACCGAATGCCAAAAGCGCGGTGAGACCGGGCATTAATCAATTTTGACACTTCGTCTCAAAATCCAATAACTTTGTGGCATTTCGTTAAAAGCTGGAAAATAATTGTTTTCAAAAGATTTTCGGTCGCGACCTTGGATTTGGAGGAGAGAAGAAGATTTTTTCGGCTTATTTTGCCCCTAAGGGCATTTATCCGACAAAGATATTTTTGTTTTGTACGTGCTGATCTACTACAATATGCACAGGGCATTTCCGGAGGACTCTCCAGACTTGGATGGATCTTTGGCCTCTTTGAAGCTGGAAGACGACCAAGAAAAGGATGATCCAGTCCTCAATAAGACGTACACCAAGAAGAATGGCGAGAGAATGAGCGAGGCTTATGAATATTTGGAGTTGCTCAATTATCCGTTCGAGCATTGGTTGTAAGTTGTCGTTTTGGAGACTAAAATGCTTTCAGCTTGGACCATGAGCACTCGGAGTCTGAGATCAAGAAGAATTCGGCCAAGTTTGATTCCAGCATTCTGATTCACAGGGATAAACAGTGAGTTGTTTGATTTTGGTCTGAATTTAGGTAGAAAAGATGGTGTCAACACTGGTAGTGGAGGGCTTAGCTTTGTTTGCCGGTGTGGTATTAACAATTTTTTAAAGAAAATTTCAAGTTATTCTGACGTTTTGTATTAGATATATTATAATCTCAGGCCGGAGCAACGAGATCTCAACAATTCCTTTTCTACCGATGACTCCACCATTTCTGATGATGTGTTTATGCCCGAGATCTACCGCAAGAAGAAGCTCTCGGCTTATGATGAACCCCCCACTCGCCGATCTTCTGCTGATGCCGCTGAGGAAGTTCTCAGGCGTCTAAAGTCATATCAGACTAGTAGAACTCCTTATGAATCACACTACAATCATGGTCATGAGATCGAGGACGAAGTTTTTTATCGAGAAGATGAGTTGGATCGGCTTTTGAGATCCGAATTGGGATATATGAGAAGAAATGAGCCTATAAGGGATGTCAGGTAAGGAAATATTTTTAAAAAGTTGATTTTTGTTTGTATTTAATGTGCTCGATCTTACTCTTACTTTCCAGACATCATGCTCACTCTCATCGTCACCAAAAACGAAGAGGTCATCGTCATCGAAAGGACGAAATCGAAGAAATTCGAAAAGGAATCCGAGATTGCCGAGTTGAATATAAAAAGTCCAAGAATCTGGCCGTTGAGACCCTGAAGAAGGCGATTGATGAACGACAGAAGTCTCGGGCATCTTCAGTCGCCTCATTTCACTCTCGACCGGCCTCAGGACTCCTTTTGAGACCAAACAAACACCGAAAAAGCGTCGATCTCATCCCTCTCATGAAGCTCTGATTAACAGACCTCGTTACGCTCATCAAACAACACATCAAATACTTCACATCTCACTTTACTGACTTGCCTTAAAATTACTTTATAGATACTCACTTCCAAAGAATGTAAAGTTTTAAACTTGAAGAGTTTACAGTAAGTGTAAAAAATATAAAATTTATTCGAAACATTGGATTAGAAATTCTTGGTCTTGTAGCCCTCGTAGCAGTCCACAGCGGCGATACAGATGGCGCAGGAGACGCTCAGATAGTTGCTGATATTGTACAAGAAAGTCGTAAAACCACCGCTGAGATCGGGACCAAGGAAATGGGCCAACAACGACAAAATTAGCGATCCGAACAGAGCTAAAACATATTTTTCAATGACTTCAAAATATAGAGGGAAAATTAGATTGGGACAAAAATCCCCGTGGTAAATGTAGAAGAATAAAAAACTACTCGCTCCCGGGTGGACTCGAACCACCAACCTTTCGGTTAACAGCCGAACGCGCTAACCGATTGCGCCACGGAAGCACGCCGTCCGTTCGTCTTTTTCCCACTCACAAAAGAAATGGGCGTCTTCGGGAGGGGAGGGTTAGAAAAACAAACAAAATTTTCGAAATAATCCGAGTAAACAAGCTAAAAGCAGCAAACAAAAAGTGCCCACCGATAAAGTAATGTAAGCGGAGCTGGTTCTTGTTGACTCCAATCAATTTCTGGAAATCGTAGCGGCCATCGATCGAGTAATACCAGCGTTTGAAAACGAGATAAAAATTGAGGCAGATGACGATAAAAGGCAGCAAAAACCCGGTCAGACCCAGCTCCCTGGACCACAAATAAAGGGCCAAGGCTTGGACAAAGAGACCGACCAGATGCGCGGAACGGAGTTGGTAGATTACACCGGGGTAGGTGTAGTCGATGGTGCGATGAGAATAGCTGGAGGACATGTCGTTCAGCTTCGAATTGACGGCTGAAATTTCAAATATAGCATCGAAGAAGTTTGGTAAATGATCTGAGTCGATAAAATAAATTTATTTACCAGTTTCGATCCGGGGAACCGACCGAAATCCCTCGCAATCCAAAAATGAGTGCGAAATTTTGGGAAAACAATTTTGAAACAGTCCGAAAACAACCTCTTTTAGGCCCTTAGAAAAGCTAGCAGATTTCTAGCGATAAATAATACAGTCATCTTACACTTGGAGATGTCATTTCCCTCCTTCTTGAGCTCCTTGGCCACTCGATCGATGTCATTTTGAATGCGGTCCATGATTGTCAACTCGGAGATGTCTCTGAAACAAGAAACAGTGGGAAGAGAGCATAAACACAACAATAAATAGCCCTTTGCGAGGCGGGGACATTGTTTTTCTGGTCAAATTTCGTCACATTTCCGTAAATAGTGATACAAACCTAGAATAATCGGAAGACAAAGGTTCAGATCACCTCCGAGCGCTCGAAACACCCCTCAGGCTGTGTGTTTTTCCGGAAACAAAAGTGCCAAGGGTCAGGGAAACACCTGTCTTCCCATTGCCCTTAGGGCTTGATATTGCCCTGAGGCATTGACTTACTTTGATCGCTTCAAAACATGGAGATCCTTCATGGTTGCGGATGCAGATTCGAATATGAATTTGGAAATAAATTGGGAATTCTCTTCTCGACATGGCTGATTCAAACAGGCAAATCATCGCAAAAAAAGGGATTTGTCATGGAATTCGAAGTTGAGAAAAAATTTTTTGATATTGGAGTCAAAACGCAACATAATAATCGAAATCAGAATGTACAACATATTTGGAATTTTTATGAAATTTTTTTATGGAAAGCAAAAAATTTTGAAACTTGAAATTTTTGAAATTTAAGAAATCCCTAAGGGCGAATGATTCGGAAGGGCCTAATGTGTTCGAGGCGCCATCTACGACTTTTATATCAACATTAATAAAGAAGTGGAAGAAAGGAAACCAAATGTCATCCATGGCCACTTTTTGTCCATCTTTCTTGAATAATTCTTTCCAGCGTATTTTAAAATACGCTTATTATCTGGAAAAGCCCTTTAGATATACTATTTCATCGTTTCCTTAACGATTTAACTGGTTTTAGAATAAAATCTATATTATCCATGATGATTTTTGGTAGTAATTCATGTTTGCAACTATACAACTTTACTAATAATGGCCGAATTACTTTGTGATATAGATAATATAAAGAACAGCATATTTTCCAAAAAGTAGAGGGAGTTTGGGGCACTAAACGGAGCATTATATTGGTTTAGATTCACGTGAATCCCCAGACTCTAGCATCCTTCTCAACTCTCTAACCACATTCAAGAGCACGGTAATGTAATTCCAAATCCAATCTCAAGGTTGTTTTCCGTCAAAATTACATTTCTCAGATTACATTGGATGTAATCTGATGTAAAAATATCATTGTAAATTCCCTTTACAACTGCTGCTTTATTATTGTTTACAACTCTAGAGAGAATGTAATCGAGTTCTCTGAGGATAACTTCCATTGGTTATGTTATATCGTAGTAGTTATTTTGATGTAATTTCGTATTTCCTGGTTAATATAAGAGAGGAAATAAATATTTTGGAGGGCTTTCGGAAGATTGTGTATGTTTTATAGGTAGTATTTACGCAGTAGTTCTCCATAAACCCTTCCGAACAACAAGTTTTGTATGAATAAGTCATCATTTTTGAGTATTACTGTAAAAATATCGGGCTTTTTAAATTTTAATGACCAAGAAAGGTGTGTTTTTATAGAAAAAGCGTTTTTACATCAAATAAAATTACTTTGAAGTCCAGTTTTCCAAGAATAATCTGCTGTTTACGTCTTTTTCTCCTTATTTTAGGTAAAAGTTATGTCCAGGGTCCGAAACTTTGGCTCTGCGGAAGTAATTTTTATTTTAATCCATGTTAGGAACACATTTTCGGGCCAAGAACGTAGTCTTTTACTATTTTCCCTCGCTTTTTTGCTGAACAAATGCCGAAAGAATGTAAATTTTTCTATTTTCGACCCAATGTGTATGCGAATCGTGCTTAATTTGCATAAAATTTGCATTAATCCCACGTTTCCGAGTGCTCTAACTCGTACTTCCTTAAAAGCCGAGTAAAACGCGTCTTTTGGGATATAAAAAAGCCGAGTTTCGGGGGCCGAATCCGCTCCCTTTTCTGGTGTCATATTCCCGAAAAGCCCGCCCCAAATAGCCTGAGGGCATTGCGGGTCTCGGGAACAATAATTGTAGATATCTTGGGCCCGTTTCCATGGCCACCGCCCTCAAATCAGGCTAATTTTTAATGCTCTCCGTCACTCCGCGGCCCCCTTATCTCTCGAGCGCCTGAGGGCCTTCTCTTTTTACACGTTACCAGATTACTTTACAAGATTATCTCTCATGTTCAAATCCATTTTGAAAATGCCGGAGGGCGAGGACGCGGGGGAGAACCAAGACCTCTTCTCCGGCGACGATGACTATGGCCAGGAGGGCGACTTTGACAAGGTCAAGCACCAGGTGAGAAAACAAAAATTTCAATTCTTTTTTATTTTTTTTTGAATTTTTTATGGTTAAACTTTGGTAGAAAATAGAAAAAATTTAATTTAAAAAATATTTTTTCCCAGGAAAATGCTTCTGCAGAACGCGGCTTTTTGTTAGATTTTTTCAGACAGTTGGATTTTTTGATTTTAAGAAACTATGAAACACATTTTTTAAATAAAAAGATTTTTTTTAACCTGAAAATTTCTCAAATTTCGCAAAAATGTGTTTCAAAACCGCAGTAAATTGTTCTTGGAAAAGAAAAAAAATGGATCTATAACATTATTACTTCAGGCCCTTTCCTCCCAATTCTCCACTTGGACCCTGAATGTGATTGATCTCCGATTCTACACAAATCACATCAGCTTCGGCTTTCCGAATGTAAGAGCAGTCTTTGGTCTGGGTTTATCATCAAACGCATTTAGTAAATACAATTTTTAAAAGGGCCTTCTACAAATTCCTTGCACTGCTCTGTGCACATGTTTTCGTAATCAGATTTGGCCTAATCGCTTTACACTTTCAGAAAAACCGACTTGTAATCCGCCTGTTGAAAGAGCCCTCCAAAGTGGAGAATCTGTCGGTTACAAAGGAAAAGTACAGACAATTGTACAGATTGAAGCAGCAGGAACCGGAGAAATGGGTCAGTCATCAGAGTCGAATACCTGGTTCAAGTTTTGCATGAATACTCTAAATAGGCCATGTTTTCATAAGCTTAGCTTGCTGTTTGAAAGCAAACGATATTCAACGTTCTTTGCGAACGAGAGAGTTTGGAAAATGAGGAGAGACGGTTAGAGAAAAAGTTTTTGAGCCGTTTCATAAACTCAAGGCAAAAAAAGTCAAACAAAATGCCGGAAAGTATCAAAAAATATCAAATTTCTTCAAAAAAATCTTGAAGAATATTAGGCTGACATTTATTAACCCACATACTTCCAGCAGAATGCCAATCTTTACAATTACGTAGTTTCAATAAAATTTTCGAATATTTTTTTAGAAATTGTTAAATTTTCTGCAGTTTTGATCTTAAAATCTCGGTGGCTTCTGCAAACATATTAAAAACCTCTCGAACGCTTTACAAATCTTTAATCACAAGTTTTATCAATATCTATGAACCTCAATTTGGCCACTTTACTCTCGAGTTTCAACTCAAGAGTCATCAAATTTCAGAAAGATTTCCTTCTGGAGGAAGAGAAGAAGCGTTCCCTTGTTATCGGAGACGTCGACGAAGAAGCCATCTCCCTCTGTAAACGGGTGGTCAAGGATTCCGAGGAGAAGATCGACAGGATCTCCTTCCGGCACATCTATTTCACCGACCCCGCCCACAGTGAATTGTTTGAGCGTATTTTGAGTGGGGCCAATTTGAAGCCGACCATATTAGAGTTGGCTCTGCATGCGGAGGAGGATCAATGGCTTGCGAATTTCGTGGAGCCGGACATAATCTACGCAATGCCAACGGAAATGCTCAGGGAAATTTCGTCGAATCTGCGGGAGATCCACGGGATCTCCAAGTACGCGATGTCCATCTTCTGGGAGCCCATCGAGCTGCAGGAATGCCATGTTCATTTCAGTGCCTTCTGGTTCCAACACTACCCGTACAAGATCAAAGTAAGCGGGTTTTCAATGGAATTGTTTGAATTTAGATAAAATTTTTTTATTTTACTCCGGAATTCCCATGAATTATGCCACTTTTAGTACTAACCATCTCAGACTTTGTTAAAATTTGGGATATATTTTTTATTTTGACTTGTCACAAGGAAATATTTTCCTGCTTTAGGCAAACTAACACCTTCAAAAAGCAAAATTTATATTCCACATGACATCTAGTAAAATTTAAAAATTTCAGATGAAAACCAAGAAGATGGTGGTGTCGGATGCCGAGGAATATTACGTAAACGACACTCTAATAGATGTTATGAAAGTTGAGGAGCTGATTTATGAGTTCAGTCTCAGGGAATTCGAGCCTCATATGAATGTCAGGCAAGTGTAATATAACTATTAGAAAAGTGGTCCGGAGGTCTGTGAAATGACTGAAATTACTATCTAGGAGGATATATTTGAGTTTAGAATATCAACTTATGAATTTTGGCCGATTGAAACAGAATGCCAAAATAAGCGGGAAATTTTAAATTTGAATTTTTTGGCGGAAATTGAGCTGGGCTTTGCATAAAATACGCTGACAGAATATTCCCCAGATGGAGTTTTATTATGTTTTATGCAAATCTTTAAGCCAGAACTGATTTTTTTGTAAAAATTTTTTCGTATTTTAGGCCCTTGGAGAACATAGTTCTTCGCCGTTTGGAACTCAAAGAGCCATCAGCGATTATCTCGAAGATAGGTGAATACGAAAATTACGGAACTTACATATCTCAACTCCTCCCGAATATTAAAATCGTTGATCTCGTTCTGAAAATCAAATGTTCGGCGGAGGAACTCCAAAAACATGGGAAGAATTCGTTGGAGAAGTTCAAACAGGGAATACAGAATATGCCGGAGAGCACTGAATGCGAGGCCAAAGTCGAAATTACGGTCGAAAACGGGGTGAGTTTGAAAAAATGTGTTCTAAAATACGGGGTTCGTCGAAAAAATGCTTGGCGATGATTTTTAGTGTTTTTTCATTAGTTTGGATGGGTAAAATACGAGATTTAAAATTACTGGTGTTAATTACAATTAATTTTTTATGATGATATGCCATGAACATCTAAAATTTTTCTATTTAGTCAGCAAAATTTCCGAACCGCGTTATGCGGAAAATACCCGACATATTTAAAAAAAAATTATTTATAGGCCGACCTCAGCCAGGTGACCTCTTTCCTGAGCCAATCCCTCTCCACGACTTCCTCTCTCTCGTCTCCGATCATCAAGATCACGGTGAATAAAAACAAAATTATTAATTTAATTATACAGTCTTCTGGATAAATAAGCATTACAATTGCCATGTTTGTTTAATTTTTTATGACATTTTAATCGTATTACTATTACATTTCCCCCTTAAACTTTGCTCTTCCTCACGTTTGACCAAAAAATTTTAAAATTTTTTGTTTTCCCATTCCGATTAGTACCTTTTGTCTGGCTTTTGATTCACGTGAAAATAAGTGGTTCTTCTAAGTAGTTGGAGATGACCTCGCGTGCTTGGAGAAACATTTACTCGCGATTCGAAAGGAGTAGTCGAATTTTGAGAAAAAAAGATTACGAAAGGCAGAATAAGGAAAGTTACAGGAAACAGGGAAGGAAGGGGGCTTCTGGAATCGCCTAAAGACCTTTGATTTCCGGAGGGTTACGGTAGATCTGGAATTCTGTGATCTCGGCTATGATTTGATTGGCTTTTAAAAGAATACGGGGTGGGGCATCTTTGTGGCCCGACTTGAATTGGCTATAACTTTTTTAGCTCTTGGCCAAATATTAAAATTCTTTTTTTCCCTGAATCCTCAGACGTCCCCATTTTGTTTAATACCAAATATGTTATACCGATTTATTAGGATTCAGGAAAAAAAGAATTTTAAAATTTGGCCAAAAACTAAAAAAGTTATAGCCAATTCAAGTCGGGCCACAAAGATGCCCCACCTTGTACTTTTATTGCGATTTGAGGCCTTCTTATGTTCTTCCAACAGTATTTAAAACGGACTTTTTTACAAAGTGAAGCATGGCCCGGACATTGTTGCGGTGACCATCACCGAAACTCTTCAAATTTGGCTCATAGAACACCCACAAGGCATACATCAAAAGCGTCAAACGTTTTCCCAAAATTTGCATTATTTCGGGATTACTGTAACATTTTGTGTTTTATAAAGCGGCCGTTGTCGTGGACCAGGTGATCGCCCTACGGGTCCGAAACTTCTTGTCTGTATGTTTTCGAACATGGCCAACATTTTTCTAATTGAAACTTTTTTTGTATCTTTTCGTCTTTCGGTAGTACCGTAATCGTCATGATACCATATCGATTACTGCCGAAAATTGGAAAGAGTGTAACAAGTTTTCAAACCGGATTATAAAAGTTGGACACCCTTCCCGTAAAATAAAACAAAAAAATCAAAAATAAAAACATAAGTTTTTGAGATATAAGCGTTCAAAGTTGCTATGTTCGGTTACTGTAGGACCAAAATAGAGACGATCAATTTTTAAACTTTTCCATTAATCTCTACGGTTCACATATTAATAGATCAGCCTGAGAAAAATATTTTCAGGTCAAAAAATAAATATTTGAGGCTTTATTTGAGGCTTTATACGATGGTTACTGTAGTTTCTAACTTTTGTCAATTTCGCTAACAAATTTATTGGAATGACGAATTTAGACAAGCTATCCGGGTCAGAAACGCGCATACATCATGGAAGGCAAAAATCAGAATCGTAATACTACCCATTCCTGAAATAGTGGGAGATTACGGTAGCCGTACCCACTTTTTTCGCTGTTTGGCCGCGGCATTCTTTGGAGCTGCGAGTGTAACAACTTTTGAACCCTGAAATTCATTCAGGATGGATAGAAGAGTATTTCAGCAAAAAATCGCGAAAATAAAAGTATAAGTTTTTGAGAAAATCCCAGATTACGGTCATTTTAGGGGTTTTTGGGCCGTTTGGCCGCGGCATTCTTTGGAGCTGCGAGTGTAACAACTTTTGAAGCCTGAAATACATCCCCGATGCTCTAGAAAGTACCTATGTAAAAAAGCCCGAGAATAAAAATATAAGTTTTTGAGAAAATCCCGGATTACGGTAGTTTAGGAGAGGAAATCCCCTGAAATGACCGTAATCCCGAATTTTCTCAAAAACTTATACTTTTATTTTCGCGATTTTTTGTTGAAATGCTCTTCTATCCATCCTGAATGAATTTCAGGGCTCAAAAGTTGTTACACTCGCAGCTCCAAAGAATGCCGCGGCCAAACGGCCCAAAAACCCTCTAAAATGACCGTAATCCTGGATTTTCTCAAAAACTTATACTTTTATTTTCGCGATTTTTTGCTGAAATACTCTTCTATCCATCCTGAATGAATTTCAGGGCTCAAAAGTTGTTACACTCGCAGCTCCAAAGAATGCCGCGGCCAAACGGCCCAAAAACCCTCTAAAATGACCGTAATCCTGGATTTTCTCAAAAACTTATACTTTTATTTTCGCGATTTTTTGCTGAAATGCTCTTCTGTCCATCCTGAATGAATTTCAGGGCTCAAAAGTTGTTACACTCGCAGCTCCAAAGAATGCCGCGACCAAACAGCGAAAAAAGTGGGTACGGCTACCGTAATCTCCCACTATTTCAGGAATGGGTAGTATTACGATTCTGATTTTTGCCTTCCATGATGTATGCGCGTTTCTGACCCGGATAGCTTGTCTAAATTCGTCATTCCAATAAATTTGTTAGCGAAATTGACAAAAGTTAGAAACTACAGTAACCATCATATAAAGCCTGAAAAAATGCCTGAAATATTTATTTTTTGACCTGAAAATATTTTTCTAAGGCTGATCTATTAATGGGTGAGGCGTGGCAATCAATCGTACCGTTTGAAAATTGATCATCTCCTTTTTGGTCCTACAGTAACCGAACATGGCAACTTTGAACGCTTATATCTCAAAAACTTATATTTTTATTTTTGATTTTTTTGTCTTATTTTACGGGAAGGGTGTCCAACTTTTATAATCAGGTTTGAAAACTTGTTACACTTGTACCAATTTTTGACAGTAATCGATATGGTATCATGACGATTACGGTACTACCAAAAGACGAAAAGATACAAAAAAAGTTTCAATTAGAAAAATGTTGGCCATGTTCGAAAACATACAGACAAGAAGTATCAGCCCCGTAGGGCGATCGCCCGGTCCGTGACAACGGCTGCTTTACAAAACCCAAATTGTTACAGTAATCCCGGACTGGTTGAAATTTCGCGAAACCCTTCTTCGCTTTTCATCAGCATGCTCAGGCCCTTCTACTGGCCAAGTTTCAAGAAATTTGGTGATGGTCGTTGCAACAATGTCCGGGCCCCTTGGAGGGAAGCTTCAGTTTGTAAAAAACTCTCTTTTAAAAGACGATTTTTGGCTCGCTGCGTCAGCCGCGGACATTCAAAAAAAATTTTTTTGAGTTTTTTAGCCTAAAATGTTGGTATAGGTCACTAAAACACATTCTCAAATTTTTTTTGCCCAGTGATGCCCGGAAGGTAGAAATTTGCATACGGTTATAACCGTCCTTCTGAGCTCTGCTGTTGCCGTCGCAATAAAGACAGCTTGACGAAAACGACATCATATAGGTTTTGGTGGATGGCGAATTCAAAAATCGCAATTTCCAGTTGGTAGGATTACTGTAACATGCAGTTTTTGACCTTCGGTCGATAAAAATCGACCGTATCTCCTTCAAATCAAAAATCCCACAAGATTTTATTGCAGATTTGGAATCAGCGTAAAATTCTGGTCTAGAAACATGTAATTTGCATTCTTGATTCCGTGGCAGATAAATCATGGCGCAGTGGGTTTTGACGAAAACTAGTAATCTGACGACCCTGGTTCGATCCCCGCTGAAGACAAATATTGTAAAAAATATGGAAATGACATTTAATGGAATTATGAGGGTTATATGAACAACGCTAGGTATTTTTAGACATCAATGGAACATGAATTTAAGGTTAGAACAGGGTTTATATTATTTTAGTCTCGGAATCCGTGAAAAATAAAACTGCTTCAAACGGGCTGAAATTGATATCACCTATTGTAGGCCTAATTCTAAGAAACTTTTACGTTAACTTTTTTTTCTTAGATTACTGTAACGTGGATTACGGTAACAAAAAGCTCGGCCTCCTTAAAGGCGATTTCTTCAAAATTTTCGCATAAAATTTAAATTTTTTTTGGCTACATTATTCAAACGGCAGAAAGCGGGCATGCCTCATATTTAAAATGCAATTCTAACTCATTTTCAGTCTGAATTAATCTCATCATCCATTGGTGATATTGTGTTAGATAACTCAGGTATTTCAAAACATACGGCCATAAACGAACTGTTAGTTCGCAAACCCACTCGTTCTTAACCATTCCTACAATCTTCGTGACATTCCGATGGCTCTGCGCCTTGTGGTATGAAAAAACAAAATTGGGTTTTATGTTACCGTAATCCACGTTACAGTAATCTAAGAAAAAAAAGTTAACGTAAAAGTTTCTTAGAATTAGGCCTAGAATAGGTGATATCAATTTCAGCCCGTTTGAAGCAGTTTTATTTTTCACGGATTCCGAGACTAAAATAATATAAACCCTGTTCTAACCTTAAATTCATGTTCCAATGATGTCTAAAAATACCTAGCGTTGCTCATACAACCCTCATAATTCCATTAAATGTCATTTCCATATTTTTTACAATATTTGTCTCCAGCGGGGATCGAACCAGGGTCGTCAGATTACTAGTTTTCGTCAAAACCCACTGCGCCATGATTTATCTGCCACGGAATCAAGAATGCAAATTACATGTTTCTAGACCAGAATTTTACGCTGATTCCAAATCTGCAATAAAATCTTGTGGGATTTTTGATTTGAAGGAGATACGGTCGATTTTTATCGACCGATGGTCAAAAACTGTATGTTACAGTAATCCTACTAACTTGAAATTGCGATTTTTGAATTTGCCATCCACCAAAACCTATATGGTGTCGGTTTCGTCGAGTTTTCTTTATTGCGACGGCAACAGCAGAGCTCAGAAGGATGGTTATAACCGTATGCAAATTTCTACCTTCCGGGCATCACTGGGCAAAAAAATTTTGGGAATCTGTTTTAGTGACCTATACCAACATTTTAGGCCAAAAAACTCAAAAAAAAATTTTTTGAATGTCCGGCCCCTTGTATTGGCTGACGCAGCGAGCCAAAAATCGTCTTTTAATTAAAACACGATTTCTGAGTCACTGAATCAGCCGCCAATTGGGCCTGGACATAGAAAAAAATCGATTTTGAGTTTTTTGTTT